AACAGGTCCTGAGGCTTCACCATGGCTGAGACAAGCTGAAGTACGACTAGGGCTGAGCCAAGAATCCTGAAAGAGAAATGATTCAGGAGAAGGAGCTGGTACTAAGACAAAACTCCACCAGCACTGATTAAGCGAATGCAAAACCCATGCTAAACAGTACTTACTGGAAGCTAATACTAAACCAATTCTAAACCGTAGTGAGCCGTTCAAAGGAATATTAAACCAATACTACACCAATTCTAAACAATACTTACTGGAAGACTACTCAGGCAGGTCCCAGTCTGACCCCCATTTTGTTGACCCCCCCCAATTCGTTTGAGGGGGGGGGGGCCTTTATTAATCACTCTCCAACATTAACTTACTCCAGTGCATCAGCTGCGGTAGCAAGTAACCCTGCAGGAAAAAAACACCACAAGCTCTAAACCAAACGCAAAAGCCCGCGCAAACAACTGCTTAGACCTGTCTCCTCCGAATCCCCGATAACAAGCGCATAAACAACAAGTTGAACTGTTGTCATAGCCACTTGCCAGACAAACCAACAAAAACAATACACCAGCACAGACCCCAGATAGCGAAAAACCAGGCCAATGACTGCAAACTGCGTGGCCCCCAGAACCCCTGCCGTCAATTTCACAAACACGCGCCCGCGCCCGGCACCACCTGCACCAGCGCCCCAAACTGCATGCCCCCAAGCACCCTGCCACCAGTGTTGCAAAAATGACCGTCACCAGCACCCCAAAAGAGCACCTGCACCAGCACCCAAGCTGCATGCCCTAGCACCCAGCCGTCAATCTCGCAAATAACTTTCCCTTTTTTTTAGAAGTTAGAACTCCCATAGAGCTTTCAGCTATCTGGGGAACAACACTTCATTGCGGAAATCCGTCTGCATAGGACCGGTTCAAGACTGCCAGGCAGAAAACGGCAGGGGGTCCACAGGGCCTAAAGTATCCCCGGTTTCCAGGTGGCCGCCTTCGAGCTTTTTTCACGCGCAGGAGAACTGTGGTCGGTGAGAAGGCACTGCAGTCTCTCTCCTCCCATTCCTCACTGGATCGCTGAGCCCCACGGCCCCCAAGAAATGAAATCCACCGTGACTTGGGGGAGATAAACTGCAATGACAAACTGGTCCTAGACTACCTCAGCCTTGGCCACTGAAAGAATCATGCTTGACTATGGACCATATTTCGTACGCGTCAAAACCTTTAAATCGCAATGTCCAAAGCCTGAGTAAACAATTGAACCCCAAGCACAGAACCCACATCATAGTGAGCTCATTTTACCCCCGGTGAGCTCACCATATAAGAGGTGGTCAAAATGCAAGGTCAACTCAAAGGAGTTGCCGGTAGAAGGCATGGGCTCGAACAAATCTTGCTAATTCCCAGGACACCACCAGGGTTTTGGGCATAAAGCTGAGAATGACCCACTGGTTCGGTTCTGACTCATTCAACAACCGCACCAAGACGCGGACTTTTGTTGGGGTCTCCGAACCTCTGAGCCCCAACCGAGCTTTCGGATGACCCCGAGGGCTGTTCAACATGGACCCGCGCCATTGGCGGGGGTTTCAAAGGGAAGCCCAAAGGAAACCGCGAGCCGATGGCTCTTTCAATCAACCTCCCACCCCCTAAGAACCTCTGAGAACCGGACGAGGCGTAGCCGTGCTCCCGCTCCGCAGTGTCTCGGCACGCAGAGGCAGCCGCCAGGGCAGCGTGCACTGGGTCCTCAGAAACCCACGAGAATTCGGATCGCTGGTTTGGAGGTGTTTCGGGGGTGGTTTTGGTGCCCAAGAGTTCATGTAGGGTCTTTGGGGGTCAAAGGCCCCGTTTTGGAGGGAACTATTGATATGACGGGATGCATGCTCCGGGTCACAGCCATCACCCTGATGGGATTTGCTGTCTTGACTTGGGGACCCCTAAAATGGGTGGTTTCCTCTTTTTCTTCACACACAAACCACAAAGGGGTTGCCCCTGAAGATCACACACCCACTAGCTCATTCCCCAAAACCCTGTTGATTCCCTAGCCCCCCGACTGGTGCACCCGCCTCCATGTAAGACCAAATGATCTCCAGCACGGAGGAGGGCGCTTCCTCTCGCGAGCGAGGTCAGACACCCACACAGCTCGGCACCAGTTAGGTGATTCGGGTATGTTTTCTTAATACCACATACCCACTGGTGGACCTGACTGGTGATCTAGATGTGATCTGGGTATGTTTATGTTCTGTCTTTTTTTTTAAATACCACATACCCACTGGTGGGGCCCACTGGGTATGTTTCTTTTCTGTTTGGACCCCTTCAGAAACACCAACCGCTTTCGCGGCGCCAACTTTATGCGTGGCCATCCCTGTCACAGGGGTTCATCTGGTGCATGATTTTGTCCATCCATCGTCCCCGCTTTGCTTCCTGTGAAGCCAAGGGCACTCCAAGGCATCCCCAAATTCATTGTGGGGGCAAGTTCTATAGAGCTCTAGTGGTGACGCACAGCCATGTTAAACCCAGGGATCCGAGTCTTGACAAACACCGACCACACACCCAAGGACACAGTACTGCCATGGATCCTTAGAGAACCAACAACGACCTGGATCAAACAGCTGGCGTGTGAAAGAACAACAGTTCCAAAGAAAGCATCATCAACCCCAAGAAGAGCGGGGGTTCGAGTTCGGGCTCCCACAGAGTCCCCTCTCCAACAAATGCTTCCCAAGACCCTGCCTTTCGTTAAGGACTTTTAGATACCAATCCGACATACTAAGTGCTAACCATACCCATTAAGCGACTTATTCACTGAGAATAAGTCTCCACTACCTCCTATGGGGTGCCAAGGACATCCCCTGCGCAACCCCGAAAGCTCCTCGTTTGTGGATTTGGTTGGCCTTCTCTTGGATCCATCGGGCATAACCAACCCCTCATGCTGAAAAAACTACCAAAGTAGGTAAACAGGGGAAACCATCATCCCAAAACTAGAGACAGAAAACCGTGTCTACTTCCAACGTGGTATATGGATAAATCAGGCAACATATCCCTGCAAACACCAACCAATGTATGGAGGGGTCACACATCCTCAAAAAAAACATTTCATTTATAACAGGGGACACGCAATGACCACCAACCAAGTGACGGGGGCAAAAATAGGGGAGGTCTAAGCATGGCAGCAAACAACAAGTTTGGTTGAAATAAAATGCGAAATGGAGAAGAACCCTAAAACTTGATTGGGTTCCACACAAATTCCCAATTTGTTGCAAGGGAACACAAAGCAGGGGGAGACCCTGAAATGACTTGGGTTCCACTCGTCACATCGAACAACACCCGTTCCTGCTCAATGGAGAAGAGCAAAAGTCCCTCGAGAGACCGCCAAGTCTCCTGGCGAATTCGAGTTCGTTGGGTCGAAATGTCCTACCTGCCACCTTCGTAAGTCGATTTCTATTGGAAAAGCTAGTTGTTTCCAACAGGTCGAAAGGGCCAAGGTGACACCAAAGACCAGCCATTGTCCATTGTCGAAAGGTTTGCTGGTTGGGTCTGGGAAACAAAATTGCAGTCGTAGACCTACTAACTTTAGCGGGAGCCCAGGATTGATCGACTGGGGGGGAACTCCCTGGTAAAACTCCACCCGACAGATCTGGCTCAAAAAGCATGTGCTGTGCATTTGTTGCTCTGTGTCCAGCCGCTATCAATTTCTTACTGGCAAGACTCGTGTGTTGCAAGCGCCGTCCGATAAAAAAAAGAAGATCCCCAGCTGCGACTTTAGTTGTGCAGCAGGAGGGGTCAGCAAGAAGGGGCCCTTCTCAAGCATGCAAGCTCTTTGGGGAACCTAGCCGTTGCTACCGATGCCACAAGAAGACCATCCATAAGGTTGAAATATATGCTTCTTTGGACGAGCGAGTACGCTGGACAGAAACATCCAATCAGTCAGTCGCATTGTGTTTCAGTCCTTCCCTTTTTGACAGGTTTTGAGCTCTGAGAGGACTCCAGTGTCATTTGGGGGAAGCACAAACACACACTTATCTCGAGAGGCTTCACTAGCCGAGATGCAAAACGCAGTCAGTAAAATTGCTTGAATGCAAATGCAAATCAACAGGTCACAACATCGACACCGAACAGGAAGCAACAGCGACAAACAGAAACCGCAAAAAGAATCAGGAAAGAGGGTCAGGAAATAGGCAGGTACGCCGGATTGATCAGATCCGGTATCCACCGAAATGCCGTAGCTTCATTGGACTGGATAGGCAAATCGGCTCCAGTCCCCCTGCAATGTGGAATTTCCGTCCGTGCTCCAGGACGCTTCACACACACGGAGCCCCAACTGGGGCGACATCACTTGTGCAAGGCCCATTGAGTCTTGCAAGCATCAATTGTGCGAGAAAGTCTTGTGGCGATGACTGACCACACATACTTGGCTTTGGAATTGGTCTTAAGGGAACGGAGGAGTTCAATCTCTCCCTCAGTCCAAGGCTGCGAGGCTTCAGGTTCGGCCTCAGTAGAGGCATCAGTCCTGGTCGATGTGGTAGCTTCGCTTGGTCCACGAGCAGGTTTTGGATGCCGTAGATCGTGAGGAGACCAAATCACGTGCGCGGCGAGCTCCTTTTTCGCCGGGAGAAGACGAAGGAGGGGTGGGCGGAGCCCAATGATCAGGGAATTGTTCGTCATGATCAGTGGGAAGGTGTTCATCTGGAGCATCAGGAGGTGGCTCAAAGAGGTCCTCAATGGCGGGGTTGAGCGTGGCCTCCGGTGCCAAATCAAGTTCGGCAGTCGGACTCTCAGTGAACTCGCGGATGGTGGCGATGCCTTGTTGGGCAATGCCAAGGATGAGTTCGAAGTCTTGGAGCAGCTGGCGTGCTGTGTTGGTATCCATGCTCGCAACGGATTTTGGTCAAACAGTCAAACAGCTGCGGCACGAAAATCAGGTCAAATCTGTCAGGATGCAAAGGCAGAGAAGAAAACCAGTGTGGTTTCGCAAAGGACGGTTTTTCTTCTCTTTGTAAGGTGAAACCGTGTTGGAGGTACAACCTCTTCAACATTGCAAGATCCTGATCTCGCTGAAATTCAGGAAAGGAAACTCGGCTGATCAGCGTGCGTCTGGAATAATATCCAGATTCCTTATGTATCATTGGTGCGGCTGACTTGACGGAGAGCATGTTGTGCTTCTCATGCGAGGGAATGAAGGAGATGGTGCTGCTTGTGAGGTTCAGTCGGAACCCCAAGAAGTCCAGGGCGGCTTCTGTTTCCAGGAAGATGTCTCCTCCATAGAAGTGTTCGTCGCACAGTATGTTGGCTGCCGGAGTCGAGAGCCACCTGGGGGTTGCGATCACGAGTCTGTTGTCCACGTAGCGGAGCAGGAGAGTATCTTCAACGGAGCGAAGTCCCGATGTGGTGTGAGTGTTGGTCCAACATTGTTCGGCGACCGCGATCACCATCAAACAGAGAGCTGGGGACGCGGGGGATCCCATCGGTGCCCCACGTGTTTGCCTGAATGAACGAAGGCCGACAGAGAAGATCTGCATGTCAAGGGTGGCCTGAATGATCTCGGGGATGTCGTCGAGCCACAGGGTGCGTTGTGTGGGTTTGTGTCGGCGACGGCGTCCGTTGTAGACGCGGGTGATGGCAGAGGTGTCAAGTGTGTCCACTGTGAGGTGTGTGGTAGAGGAGTGTGGTTGTCGTTGTCGGTACCAGGTTAGCAGTAGTCGCCAGGCTGCTAAGAAGCGGTCTTTGTCGATGGAGGTGAAAAAACCGGAAAGGTCCTGGTTTCGGTAATCCAAATGGGTGTGGCCGAGGCTTAGAAACTCGTGCAAGGACCGCATGAGTTCAAAGAGGTCGCCACCTGAAAACGCGTCAGGGCAAGCCGTGGCCACCATGCTGTGGAGGAGCTTGGCGAGAGCGTCGAGCATGGGTCGGAAGAAGGCGCCAATGAAACTGATGATGGGTCGGGCAGTGGTCCAGTTCTTCTTCCTCTTCGGGAGGATGTAGGCGTTGGCTGGCCTTCCGAATCCGGTCACGGCCCAAGGATAGCGGCCGCGGAATCTGGTGACAATGGTTTCTCGTAGTCGTTGGTGGATCTCAATGGCAGGGACCGGCAGAGGGGCGAAGATGGCAGGGTCCGCAAAAGTGGCTTCCAACATCTTGCCGTAGAGAACGGGACAATAGATCATGAGTCGGGAGTCCGCATGGTCTTCGCAATGGCGGACAAGGGGTTCCAGGGTATGCAGAGCCCGTTGGACGTGGGCGTGAAGAAAGTACTGTGATGTGTGTGAAAGGTGGAGGTCGAAATGGAATTCGACAATAGTAGTGAGGGTTGATGGGTCGAGCGCGGGTAGGTTGTTGGTCCTGGCCCAGTGTTGAAATGCCTGGGTCAGGCGACTCATCAAGACCCCTCGTGGAGGAAAGAAGGAGTTGCGCATCGATCCGGATAGCATGTGGGCAGTGTCGGAGTCGAACAGCTCATGGGTGTCTGCACCGGAGAAAAGAAGGTGTCCGTCATGCTTCGGGAGGGATGGGTGTTGTTGGGCGAGGTCGGTGCATGTGCAGGTTGTTTCACCGAGACTCCAGGTTTTTGCTGCCTGGAGATGTGAGAACAAGGCACTGGAGAGTCTCCGATGTGCCTTGAAGACAATGCGTGGTTGTGCCATGTGAAACGGTAAAGCGCTGCGAGTGGTAGATCGAATAAACCCGCGAAGTTGGGTTAAAAGCAGGGATCGGAAAGAAGGATGGGCGAGGAAGGGTGCAAGCATCGGTCTGGAGGGGCCAGGTGGAATGAGGCCCCGGAATCGTAAACTGGATCGAATGGCGGAAAGGCATGCCTGGTGGTGTGGTTCAGGCAGGTGCGTGGCTATGCGATGAAGGACATAGAGAGCGGCGGGTGGGAAGTCTCTGCTCCGTATGTAACGGATGGCATCAAATCGTCGTAGAGTGTTGCTGCCAAGATCGCCCAAAAATCGCCACAAATCCAGGCGGTTGTTCATGCGCTTGGCCAGGAAGGCCTGTTGTAGGGCGATGGGTAGTCGTAGTCGGCGGCGTTTTCGCCAGATGGTGGCGAAGCCCATGTGCCGGGATTGGGAGAAGTCCAATTGGCGTATGAAGCCCGTGCGTGGCCGGAAATGTTTCTCGATGAAGCCAAAATTGAGAGACGGTTGCAGTTCCTGGATGTAGAACTGTTCAGTGGCAAATAGGTCCGTTGCTGGAACGACAGTGTGAATGGGCACCGAGGTGTAGTGGTGGAAAATGTCAAAATGTGCCCACCACCGGACTGCCAGTTCGGCATTGACCAGATGATGTCGCTGAACTTGGAGTAGTTTGCGAAGTCGGCTGTGGTCCCGTGCCATGAGGGAGGTGCGAGTGGCTCCGAGGTAGAAAAAGGTCTGCCACTTTGGATGGCTGGTGAATCTCAGATAAACCGCTGAAGGGACAAGCTGAGAAGAGAAATCGGAAGCAGGGTTGTCCAGGCCAAGTCGAGTGAGCAGGGCTTTCAGTCTGCCGGAACCACAGGAGAGATGGCAGACGTCAAGTAGCTGAAGCTGTGCGAGTAGCCAGGAGCAAAAATGACGTGCGGTGACGTCATCGGTTGGGAAGAACCGAAGAGTGAAACGGAGGACAGTGAGAAATTGGCAGCAGTGGTGTTGCCAAAATTTGTGCTGCCTGGCTGTGCGTCGTTGTCGGTGTGCTGTTGAGAGTCACTGGTAGAAGTGACTCGCAGCGGCCAGGATGCGGCCCAAGGCCGATGACCCCAGTTTTGATAGGGTTCGCACCGGGATGCCCCATAGCACAGCGGCTCGTTCGAGTTGGGCTCTGGTGTCGGAGTCCAGTGTGGTTGCCCATTTTGCGCAGTCGTTGGACCAGCTTTTTAGGACTTGCTTGCTCTCTTTGCTGGTTTTCTGGGAGGTGATCCATCGCTGGACTTTGGTGTCGGAAAGGTCGGGTGGGAAGTTGTTGGTGAGCCATTGGCAAGCGTGGGGAGGTGGTTGGAGCAAGTCGCGGGGCTCCTTCCAAGTGGGTGGGGAGGGGGGATGGGGAGGGGTCGGGGTGCCGCCGTGGGTGGAGGGGTCATGAGGGTTGCCGCCGAGGGTGGGGGGAGCCGGGGGGGGTTGGGAGTCGTCTGCAATGCGAGTGGGCAGGGGTAGGGCGGGGGATCCGTCCTGCGGTGATGCGTCAAGTGTAGTCAACCGTGGTCGCTTCATGCCGAAGTCCAGGAGGGAGGCCTGAGATGGATCGGCTGGGCGTTTGTTGGATGAGGTGGGTGTGGGGGGGAGAGGGGGGGATGAAGCCTGCTGGGCGAGTTGGTTGTGTGCGTCAGCAAGCTGTTGCTGAAGCTGGAGTATGGTGGCCGCGGAGGCCGGATCGGCCGTAGTGGTGGGTCGGAGGGAGATGAGGAAGTCGAAGATCTTGTTGGTGAGTAGCTTCATGGCTGCTGGTTTGGTGGTCGAGGCGCCCTCCTGCGTGGCGACATGGAGGGCGAGGGCGTCCAGGTCGAGGTGCCGTTGTCGGATTTGGCTGAGTAGTCCAGCAGCAAACACTGATTCCGGCATCGACTTTGCGACAACGATGCGGACTTCGCCTCCGTGGGCGAGGTGACGCAACCACCAACTGTTCCACTGTTCGTGCATGAGGTGGAGGAGGGGGACGCGAGCGATGTCTTGTCCCTCGATGCCCATTTGCCGAGTAAACGCGGTGTGCGTTATGACCTTGGGCAGGTCGTACCCCGCGACGCGGGTGGTGTCGTAGTGATCGTCGCCAGGGTTGAACTCGGCTGGTGTTGGGACTGAGTGGACGGGTCGAAGTGCCGGGGGAGGTTTGGTTTGCGAGGCGGTGGAGGGGGAGGGGGAAGGTGGAGGGCGGGTGAAGTTGCCGGGGGGAGGGGGGGGAAAGGGGTTGCCGCCGGGAGGGGGGGGGAGAGAGCCGCCAAAGGAGGGAGGACGAGGGCCGGGGTGTGGTGGGAAATGGGGACTAGGTTGGCCGTAGGTCTGACAGGGAGTCGGATGTGTAGTTGGCGGTGTCCATGTCGTGGAAGAGCATCCGTAGGAAGGTCCGGACAGGGCCCCGCACGGGTTTCCGGCCATGTTGTTGCCGTACATGATGCCGTGATGATGGGATGCCGTGGGCGAAGGCTGCGGTGGTAAGTTTTGCCTTTGGAGCATCGGAACCAAACCTCGAGGGGGTTGGAAAGCCATGCGAAAAACACGGGGGAAAAGGAAAAGTTCGAACCAAAAAGCTGGTGAGCGGAATCAAGCGGGTAAGGTCACAAGGCGAGAAAACGGTCGCAGAAAGGCAGAACAGCAAAGCAAAGAAAAAAGGCGATCAAACAGTGCACCAATTCTTTTCCTGGTTGGGTGGAAGATGGTACACTTGCGCCCCGCTAAGCCGGGCGCTGCAGCGCGATGCCTCTCAGCATCGCAAACTTGGAGTGAAGGCACCACTTTTTGCCTCGGCGGCATGCGAAGTGGCGCCGCACGTTGTGTTGATCCTCGTGGCTTCCCCCGGATTCGAGGATTTTGTGCTGATTGATGGAGCGTAGTTCCCCAAAAGCGATGGCGCCGAGTTGAGACTTTCCGATTGTAAAGTTCTGCAAGAGCTGGCCGAGCGTGTCGGGCGTGCATGCCGTGGGGGTGGCCTGAGCGTAGCATCCAAAGCTCGGGTAGTCATGGTTCTCGGGCCTCCAAGCAGCGGGTCGGATCATGTTCTCATGGCACATGCGGCGCGCTCGATCCGGGGTGGTGCCGTGCACATACATGACAGCGTGATGGGAGGCCGTGCCGGATCCAGCTTCCGGGTCTCCGCCAGCAACTGGCCAAGGGTGAGGTCGGGGAAACCAAGTGGTTGCGAACACCATGCCGTGTGATTCCCGTCCCAAGAGGTGGTAGAAGCTGGGATCGAACGGTATGGGATCATCCGTGTCCATGGTTCGCAGTTCCCAGCATTCCGCGAGGAGATCGGCATGTGAAGGTGGCAAGGCAGGGTCCAGGTCCATCAAAATGGCCTTAGTCTGTTCCATCCTGGAGATGTCCAAGGCTGGAAGCGGGTCCAGCTCCCCCAACTCCCTAGGCGTGGGAACTCGCAGCGGGTCAGTCTTGGCCGTGTCCATGACGTTTCTCCATAGATCAAGCCACCGGTTGTCGGAAGTGGTGGTGGCGTTGATGTCCGCCTCCGATGGAGGGGGATCCAAATCACCGGTGTTGTCGGAGGGGGGTTGGGGAGGGTGAGGAGTAGCCGGCGTGGGTCGGGGAGGGGGAGGGGGAGGGGGAGTGGAAGTGAAGGCCGCCGCAGGTGCTGGGCGAGGGGGCAAGCTGGTGTTGTGGTGGCCGGTGCGGGAAGTGGGGTGGGGTTGCTGCCCATGGTGCTGCAGTGACCAGGACGATCGTTTGTCCTGGTTGTTTCGGTGGCCGGTGTGGCTGGCGCCGTGGTGGTGCATGTCCCAGCGGTTTTTGTTCTGTGGTGGGTATCCCCACGATTGGTTCCGCCAGTGTGAGGAGGACCATTGAGACTTGTTGGGATCCTTCCCGGAAGTGCGCCAGGAGTCCTTCCCGGAAGTGCGCCAGGAGGTGGAATCATGAGTAGTGTGAGTGGGTCGGTGCGAAGTCGTGGCACTGGGTGCAGGGGAGTGTCGATGGTGGGACCTGTGTCGGGGGGAGCGGGAGCGGAGGGAGACAGTGGAGTGGTGTGCACGTCGGGAGTGGTGGAGTGTCGGGAAAGGGAACGTGACCTGCTGTAGCTGCGGGATCGTCGGGTGTCGTGTCGTCGGTGCGACTTGTTGTGCCTGCGATGGTGGCTGGTGTGGGAGTGGGAGTGTCGGTGCTGCCTGTGGCGGGAACGGGATCTGCGAGAGTGGGGAGGGTGCCGAGTGTCCGGGGGAGGGTGGTTGGTTGAGGAGGTAGCGGCAGGAGCCGCAGCGGCAGCTTCGGGCGCGCGCGCCGGCTGAGGCTCGGGCAGTGAAGATGGCATGCTGCTCTGAGTCATGAAAGGCATGATGGTGCCAGGTGCCAAGTTGCCGTAATTGGGAGGGCCACCGTAGGGCATCATGGCCATCGGGTTGCCAAAGTTCGAGAGGCCGCCGTAGGGCATCATGGGGAAAGGTGTGAAGGATGCCGTCTGCGAGTTGGGTGACGGTACAAGGTTCATGGGCTGCGTCATCTGGGATGACAGCTGCAAGTTCGGTCCACAATTGCCTGGTGAGCCGGACGCGGTGCCGGTCGCAATGCTGTGCAGGAGCGAATGCATCATGTCATAGAGCTGGTGTCCAGCCATCTCGCAAGGGAGAGAGAAGGTTGGAAAGGGGTGAAAACAAAACCACACCTGCAGCAGAAAAGCGTCAAAGGTGCAAATGCATGCGAGCCAACTTCAACCTGCGAATCGAAACCAAACAGAGGGAATTCCACCAGGGGACCGCCAAAACCCCGCGGCAACGGCAAAAGTTTTCACAGAAATGCATGCGAGCACACAGGGGTTCTCAGAGGTGCCTGTCAAGTGGCCTCATGAAAGTGCCTCATGTGGCTCATGTGGCTATGCCGATGAATCTGAACTGAACTCATCCGAGACGAAAGCTTCCATGAACGCTACGAATTGCAGAGTTGGTGTATGACCAACTCGTCACTGGCGCATGAAGCTTAGGAGCCTGAAACCTCGTGGGTGCAGCCTTGCTTCAAAGGCAGGCAGTGCAGGCAGTGCAGGCGCATGAAACCAGCAGAGCACCAGTAGGGTGCGGAATACCTTAAGACCTCAAGCTGCAGCCTTGATCGTGGTCAAACGCGCTGAACTGAACTGCAGCTTGAACTTGAACACTTGAACGGTCTTCCCCTCGCAGGGGGCTCCCGCATATGGCGAGTCCAGCCCACAGCGCCATGTCGGACAGGCCGTGGGTAAACACACTTATCTCGAGAGGCTTCACTAGCCGAGATGCAAAACGCAGTCAGTAAAAATGCTTGAATGCAAATGCAAATCAACAGGTCACAACATCGACACCGAACAGGAAGCAACAGCGACAAACAGAAACCGCAAAAAGAATCAGGAAAGAGGGTCAGGAAATAGGCAGGTACGCCGGATTGATCAGATCCGGTATCCACCGAAGTGCCGTAGCTTCATTGGACTGGATAGGCAAATCGGCTCCAGTCCCCCTGCAATGTGGAATTTCCGTCCGTGCTCCAGGACGCTTCACACACACACACACACACACACACACACACAAACAAACACACACACACACCACACACACACACACACCACACACACAAACACACAGACACACAGACACACAGACACGCAGACACACAAACACACAGACACACAGACACACAGACACACAGACACACACACACACACAACCCACAACCCACAACCCACAACCCACAACCCACAACCCACAACCCACAACCCACAACACACAACACACAACACACAACACACAACACACAACACACAACACCACACACCACAACCACACACCACGCACCACACACCACACACCACACACCACACACCACACACCACAACCACACACCACACACCACACACCACACACCACACACCACACACCACACACCACACACCACACACCACACACCACACACCACACACCACACACCACACACCACACACCACACACCACAGACACTAAGCTTCAAATTGGTAACCTTCATGTCGACCCGAAACGACAAAAACAAACTGTTGGATGGACAAGGGATGTTTTCGTGCAAGTGAAGGATGCCCGTCACACCGCCTAAGTGCCAAATGCATCTCCAGGGTGTCTCCAAAATTCGAAGTGTATCTATCCCTTTTGGCTTTCTTTTGGCGAAACTAAAGAGATCCCAGTGCTTCCAGCTACTTTACTGGGCAACCAGTCTTTGTTTACATCAAGGTGTTACCACAATGTGTTTTGTTTGTTTCTGCTTACCTACAACCGTGGTACCTGGAAGCACTGGGAGGATATGGATCGCATCCAAAAAACCAACGCGACCCCCCCGCCCAACCAGCGCCTTGGGGTTCTTCCAATGCACCTTGCCCATGTCCCCCAAGGTCTTCTCGCTCACCTGGCAAGGTCCAAAATCAGCTGCCCTGACCAAAATCGGGGCGATGGACGCCGTAGACACCGGGCAAGAAATGAGCATAAGTACTTATGGAGATTATCAATTTCCAAGGCTACTCTTTGGGGCTAGATTGAAATGAGAACATGAAACAAACAAGGAAACGACAAGTTTAGGTGTTGCCCCATGATTGAAAGAACCAATCTGGCTGAAATTCATCTGTGAAGCAGGAAACCCTGGACCAGGGTGTGCCTTGCGAAACCCAAATGGAGGGGTTCCCCCCCAGAGTTTTTCAACTTTAGTCTTCAATACAAGAAGCAACTCGAAGATTGAAACCCTTGATAGTTTATTCTGACTTTCTTTGTGTGAAGTTGCGAGTTAACCCGAAATCTCAACGCACACTCCTGCCAAAACCACGTCATGTGTAGAGGAATCCTTTTGTGGGGGACTCTTTTCTGGCTTCGTTTTTTTTACAAAAGAAAAAACTCAGAAGAGGCCCAAGGGGCCCCCTAAACAGACGCCTTTGCTTATTCTTGGGTATCCAGTAAAACCCATCTTTGCCAACGAGGTCACCCCTTTAAAGTTAACCCCAGATGAATCACGGGGCGGTGTCCCCGGAATTCGTGGGGAATCAGATCACTCGGGGAGAATAGCCCCGAGAGCGCCTCAAACTGGTCCATCTGCTTCAGGTAGTGCTGCAGCAGCCAGGCCACCAACGGCCCTTGCAGAATGGGACCCAACGGGGTTGGTTTCAAGGGAAACCAAAAGGGCACCAATCATTTGGGTCTTTTTCAGGTTGGATCGCCCCAAAATGGTGGTTTCCTTTTTGGATTCTCGTTAGAAGCCATGCCCCTCACAAATAAAACAAGAACACATTCTGGGCCCAAACAAAATGAATGACAACCCAAGTGCGGAGGGTTCAACTCATTGGGCGTTGAATATGTTCGATCGCAAATGGATTCCTTTCGGACGTGAAAACACATTTTATTGTGCCAGCGATCGGAACGCACCAGCTTGGGGTTGTCTGAATGAGCAGGCGTGCTCATGAAGTCACCTCAAAGTTGCAAGTGGATGGGTCGAAACTGCTCAACCTGTGAGTTTGTGAACAAACTGATGCCCCTCAAAAAGCTCTCAACATCCAGAAGCTGAGAAGGTGAACGAGTGTAAAACAGGGGGCCGGTGCGAAGTGCAGCCACGAGACTATGCCCCTGATGTCTGCTGAACCCTCCGATGGGCAAGGTGCGTGAAGAAGTCTGACGGACACTTAGAGCCCATTCCAACATGAAGCTCCGTCAATATTCCCTCAATGTCCCCATGATAAGGCTGGAAGTGCATCACGTCATGCCTTCAACTAAAGCAGACTCACTTCCTGAATGAATTGGTCGGAAGAGGCAAGACTTGCTGTTACCGCTAAAACTGAGATCTTCTCAACTAGTTGGCTTGCCTACAAGTTGGAAAGTGAGAAGATCACCTAAACCTCGCTTCCTGAGTGGATGGCCCCAAAAAAAGTCCAAACTTCTCGTTTACCGCTAAAATGGTTTTCCAAACAAGCGCAAAGTCCAAAAACTCAAAAGAGAGACACGCCTCGGATCGACCACGGTGATTTTGATTAAAGACCTCATTGCCTACCTTCATCCCAATAACACCTGCTTCACAAGGAGATGGTCTTCCCTCTCCTCCCCCCCCCTCCAGAGGAAGCATCGACTCAACTGGAAATAAAAAAAGAGGACTCAACTGGAAATCCGGCGCCCTGCCTGCATTTTCGCGGACGTTCCGCACGATACTGATCGGCGTCTTCGCCTGAAAGCCGCACGCCTAAAAGGATAACCACCCATTTGGGGCTCTTGCAAAAAAAAAGACACACCCAGTTTGATACATCGCCCAAATTTGGGGACCCTTGATTTTGATCAGGTGTCTCACAAGGCGGGTGTGGGTCGAAAAAGGTACCCAACACGGAACCCCTGTAAATGGAAACAAGGACTCAGACCTGCGGGGTTTCTGGTGGTTTCATTTTGACCCATGGGTGCTCATCAGCCCTGGCGGCCCCCGATTTGTTTGGTTCTGTTTGACCCAAGGCCAACCATCGCACACGTGGGCCAACTCCAAGTAGGGCACCGAGTGCATTGAGTGCAAGTGCCGAGTCTCCGGCAGCTCGGCGGCGGAATCGTCGCTTCTCGCCCTCGCTCCTGCGGAACGCGATTCGGACTTGCGGGCGGGGTGCGGCGGCAGAAACAGAAAGAGTCTTGGGCAACATGTGGGTTTGGTTCTAACTGAGGATTTCTTGATGGCTCGCTTCCCTTTGGATTCTCTTGTCTTGTAAACCAGACTACTATATTCCGAAATCAAAATTACTGGACCGCTCCAAGGAAGGAGCGGCTCAAAACATGGGGAAACAACCAGATCCGATTTGCCCCGTTTGAAAGCAACACCGAAAGAGTTGTCGACAACTTGGGACACCCAACACCAGCCTAAAGAAGTTTTGAAATTCCAAGTTAGGGTAAGCAACGATCAGCATGCCATCCCACAAATGCACTGACTGAGGCCTTGGCAAGGACTCAAGGTCTGTTTGGAAGAACGACCCCTAAGGAGCAACTCGGGGGAGTGCTGGAGAAGAAGGGGGCTCCCTGAGGCAGGAGGTGTTGGGGCTACCATGGTCTAAACAACCTGACCTTGGCCCGCTTCAAGGAAAGCCAAACGCAGGTTGCTTGAAGATTTGAGCAGTGGGTTGCCCAACCCTGGTGGACGGAAACCAGATAAACAAGGATATACCGGATGGTAAACAGGAGCAGCATTCGGAACCCTGCGAGAAAAAAATGCTTCATTTGTTTTTGGGTTTCTTGTCGCTCATCCTGGCGGTACCCAAACGGGGTGAGCTGCCCTAAACAAATGGAGGAGTGGCCATCGCTTGAGGTTCCCGGGAAAAGTCAGGTGCCCTCTTTCGAGTCACTACTTCAGTTACCTACGTATCTCGGTACGCCTTTGAGAAAAGGTGCAAGGCCCGCCTGTCTGGGGGTATCTGAAGGAAAAGGTTGGGAGTGCGACCCAAGCCAAGTAAGTGAGTTGTCCACCAGGCTATAAGTGTGCCAAGTAGGTTGAACATCCAGCCTTCATAGACTCGCTCCGCAACATTGGACGTTTGACGGAGGTTCATGCGGCCAAAAAAACAAAAGTCTAAACCGTACAAGCATGAAGCCTCCGCGGCCCGAAAAAACAGCGGGCTGCAAGAGGCATCTCGGTGTCTTTGGCAGAGTTTATCCTTGCTTGTTGTGTTGCTACTTGACAACTGGTGATGTTTGGCATTAGTTAGACATTTGGGGGTAAGTGGTTCGCAACCCATTGATCCCGACTGAAACCCTTCAGTAAACCCTCTTCAAGGGTTGCTATCCCCCCCCCCAACTAACATGGAAGTGCACAACCCCCCTTTCCAAGAGGAAAGTACAGGGCTCTGGGCACTTCCATGTCAGTCGTTGGGAGGGTAACCGTTTTAGCGTGACCTACTCCCTGCCCCCCTACCCCCTGCTTCCCACTCCCAAAAACATGACGCGCTCCTCACGTTGTCCTGCGCTCCGAAGGCCACGAGCTCTTGGAAGATGAGTCGGATCGCCTGGGGAACCCCTCCCGGTGGAATCGAATCCCCCCACTGCAAGGTGCGCCGGAGCCCGGAGCCCGGTAATTGCCGGGCGCGGGTGCGACTCCATTTTTGCTGGGCTTCCAACCACAAAGGGAGACACGGAACTGAAAAATCGCCTGTCAAACCCATAAGGCCTGGGGGGGGGGGGGAAGGGGGGGAAATAAAATAATTCAGGGGTTGTGTCGGCGATCGCGTTCTTCGTACATTTCTCGCTCTCTTCTTGGGCGTGGAAGTCATCATGATGCTGGTGAATTGATTGGTTGCTTCTGTCCCGTGTCGCGAAGTGGTGGCCATGCAGATGCCTTACACTGCAAGGCGTTCAGGAATGCAGGGGATAAGAACCGCGGGGAGTCCTGGAAAACTCCTTTCTGGGAATTGAGCGACAACATAAGGGTTCCATAAACAACAATTCATCATGAATCCAAAAACCGTTACGTCCCTGGTCCATTCCGAGTGAAGGACGCTTTGCAGCTTCCCGAAATCAAAAGTTGAGCAATTGATGGGTGGCTTCCAGCCACCAACATCACTGTTGGCCCAAAGTTGAAATCTAAAGGAACCTAGATTCCTTGGGGTGCCTAGCGTGACGTGTTCAAACTCAAACCACATTGACTTGGATAATTACAACAACTCGTGACCCGGAAACAAGGAAGCTTCATGGTTTGCGGTCGCACGCCCGAACTTTTTGTGAAGCTTTTCGTGCCCCTGAACCCATGTTACGGGGTCTTCCAAACTCACCATGGCCCAAACACCCTAGCCCAAAGCTTCTAGGGCAGCATCAATCCTGGGCAACGTCGCCCCCCCCCCCCACCCTTGAAGGGGTCTCTGTGCAGGCTCCGCAGGCTCCATGGCACTTGAATACCTGACGATAACACCACCAAAATGGGACTACCCAAAACCTACTCAACAGCAAACCCGATAGGCCCCACCCAAGATTACCCCACTGATATTATCAGTTGTGCCTAGCCCTCAGCATATGCATGTCAACCAAACGCTGAGGGTTGGTTCCAGAGATGATGGCTTCGCAATGTTGCCCGTTGCTCTTACAACAGCCGGCAGGGTCCAATGTATTCCCTTCTGCTGATTTTAAAACATCATCTGCTGGGCCAATTTGAAGTGAGTTTCCTTTTGATGGGGTGATAGTTAACAGGCAAATATACCATATACAACATTAGCCCAATGACCCCAATGCGACAAACATCTCCCGATGTGTGAGGCTGGAAACCCAACCGTGCCTCGGCATGGCCCCTCTCCTGGATAAGCCTGCCAGGGCTGGGGGAAGTTCCTTTTGTTTGGACACACGGCAAATTGGTTTTGTTTGTGGGGTCTTTGATTTGTGTGACTTTGCCATGGAAAACAGGGTCGCTGTTTGAAGCCCTTATTCGATAGGGGGCCAAACAACCCTTCCAAAGATTGAATCGCTGTGACTGCACCAGTCAATTGTCCATGCATGCCTTGACGGCCAGTGAGGAAGCACAGGGGCTCAAAGAAATGCCAACATTGAAAACACTTGAGGGGTTAGTAAATGCGGAAGGGGTCCACGATTTCCCCACATCATGTTCGGATTCCGCGTTTTGTCTAGGCAAACATAACGTTTGATAGAACATTGTAGCATATCGGAGGAAACCTCAACACTGTTTGTAGAACGCCTGAACAAAAGACATACAGCGGGAAAGCCCGAACACTGCGCAACACGAATCTGCGCGGTGTGCCCACCTGCGCCCAAGGCCGTCGTAGTAGTCTGTGCCTCGCTTTATCGGATGGGCCATGGCAGCCTTACTCCAAATACCCACCTCTATACTAGTTGGGGGAGGTGCCTCTTTCTAGCTGTGGATTGATAACAGAGGATAGTAAGGTCCATAACCAACTTTGCTCTACCATTGCCGATTTCGCTTCCGCCCCCACCCCAAGGGCACTACAACCCGAATCCTGTAGAGGCACTGCTGCCTTCTAGAAGTCACGTCACCCTTGACTCAGCCCCACTCTCAGGGCATGGCAAGTAATCAAGGGTTGTCCGGGGGGGAAGTGGGGCCTAAACAGGGGTCACTGGATGTCCTCCTCAAAAGTTGCAATTTCCTGGTGGTGTCAGTTCACACTGCCACTTTTGGAGGAAACCCTGTTAATTGGGGGGGGGGGGCAAAAGCTAAGCACCTGGTTAACTGCCGGATCATCTCAGCGTCTCTTGCCAGGTTGCGAGCCAAACGGATCTTCATTCTAGGGGTGTTTGTACCAATTTTACATGGGAAATGACCCCAAAAGGTTTGCTAAAGTTCATACCGCTCTCCTGGTCCTTCACAAGAGCTGGCCCTATGAAAAACAAAACAGGAACGAAACGAGGATGCACAGCCACTTCCAACTGGCTCGAAGTGGACCCTCCTCTCAATCACCTTGTAAAGGGTGATGTGTGTAACTCCCCAAATGTTAGTTTTTGCTATTCAAACCATACCAATGGGGGTCATCCTTTACCCTGCATTTTTCTGGACATTGAACCCCAAGCTAATTACCCGAGAACCCCTGACTCATCCGGCTCTTCAGAGGCAAAGGCATCCCCACTGGACGGCGAGCGCCAGCTGCTGCCTGGCAGGCCCGCCCGGCTGTGGGAAATCCTGCGAGTCGATTCCCACCATGGCTGCTTTGCAACTGATCATGGGGGCGGGGGGGGAGGGAGGGGGAGGGGGAGGGAGCCCAAATCAGCCCTAAGTAAGGCCTTATGGCCTTACTTAGGCCCCATGAACTGAGATTTTAGAACAGAACGTGGGCCGGCTGCAGGGGTGCTTCTCCACGGCTCAGCATCCGGGGCCAAGGTTCGAACTGGACCCGGCCAGTATGGACATCAAAACCAAACATAGAGGGACAACCCCCTCCCGCGGAAGCTGACAATCCAGAGGTGATCCACAACACCCCAGACTGACTAACCATGATAAAACAAAGTCATGTGGTGCTGTTGGGGTGTTGATGTCAAACAAATAAAATCAGCCAACAACAGTCCCACGTAAATGTGTTGAAGTTGAATGATTGAATCGTTGGTTGCGGATGTTAGTGCATTACCATGTGTTTGTGCGAAGGGCTGTGTGAAGTGACATCGGTTGTCGAGAGCATGTGTATCTGGGCAGACTGCTATTTGCAAATGGGTGTGTATGTTTTAGGTTGGACCCCCAAAATTGTGGTTGTTCTTTTGGTTTCCCTCCCAAAGGGGGGGGGGGTCGGAAAAACTAAGACACACCCAGATGGGAAGAAGGAATCCCCGATCAAAAGGATCTTCATGGCGCTCGCCTTACTCCGTGAGCTCGTTACGACTTGTCCAGGTGACAGCTTCACAGGGCCCCCCCAAAAACGCATGGATCGAAGGGCAACTTAAGTCTGGCAAGCCTCAGTTTACAGTTGTTCAAACGGGTGGCTTGGGCAATCGATTTCAAAGCCAAGCCCAAAACCCAATACCATCAGGTAGTGTGAAGCCGAACCGCCAAGCTTCACACCACCAAGACCAAACACCAAAACGACAAAACCGGAGCCCTTGGCCCGACGTCGCCCGGCGTCTTTCGACAACTCGGCCAGCGAGGCCACACCCCGACCGACTTGGTGGACTTGGATTGCGGGGAGGTCACGGGTCGACCACCGCCCAGCACCGCCGCCAAGATCACGTCCTCAAGACCGAAGCAAAGAAGGAAGAAATGCGAATCGCCATTCAGGCAAGCTAAGTGGTGAGTGTCACAGCATTGAGGGACCCAAAAGGGGAAAGAGAGTGTCATGGCTCATTGCAGTTGTGTTGACCGCTTTTGCAGGCGGCTCCACGTGGAGGGCCCTCCTTCTGCATGAAGGAAACCCGAATGAAAGCCGCATGCCCCATTGCAAAGGTACTGCCAAATTGAGCAAAGCTGGTCATCTGCGGCTGGCTTTCTTGATTTCCTACCCACACCACTGTTGCCGGCTACCACAGGCAAAAACACGAACAACACCAGTGGCTGAAAGCATGAACCCACCTCATATGCCCCTTAAACATCATCCCACCTCCAGGAAGTCCATTATAGGCTAGCTCACTTCAAAATGGCAACCGAACGGTGACCAATTGGAATGTTCAGGGAACCCTGTCCGTGTTCTAATAAATATGGGTTCCGCGGTGCCAAGGACAATCATGTTTGTAGCATCCAACAGCACTCCATCGGTTCGCACCAATTCCACAGGTCCCCCAAAAACTAGTCCAACAGCCGACTGCACGTCGTAAAAGCATCCAGCGACTGGAGGGAATGTTTCAGGAAGGTCCAAGCGTTCCCCTGAAAACCGAGAACCGGGTATGGGTCAATACAAAACCACCAAAAAGACGCAGGATTCAGTCCTTGTTTGCATTCATCAGGATTCTACGGGCCCGCTCGCATTTTTGTCTCACATCCAACTGTTTTTTGTTCGCCTCCAGGCGATCGTTGATGGAGTAGATCTCCACCTTCCCGCTGTGCACCTCGAGCATATCTATGGGTGCCAAAAATCAACCTGGAAGCTAGGCAGGCCACTTGGGTGCCCATTAGCCATAAGGCTCCGGGGCTTTTTCAATGGAAGACCCGACCCCTCCATCAGACACCCCGAAAATGTTTGGGGGTCTCAAAACCGTGCTGTTTGAGGGCCCTAAATACATCGGGAGCCTCTGGGGAAGAAAACACCTGCCCGAGCCGCGGGAAGTCCTCAACATCTCGGAAAGGTGTCTGATCCATGGGTTTGGGGGAGAAAAACACCTGAAAAACGCCTGCGTTTCGACTGTAACCAACAACAAATGCGCGGCAATAGAGGGAAAACCGCAGGAAGACCATGCAAAGCAAAAGCATCTCCTGGTCCCTGGACAAAGGAGAGAGACTATGCGCAGTAGTGATAGATTCTCCTCACAAATGGAAGTTCTCTCTATGCGTTTTGATGTTGCCCCAGCGCTGAGCCGCTTTTTCCGGAGACCCATACGATCAGCCTCCGAGTTTGGCTGCATGGGCCAGAAAACCGAGCCAATCTAATCACCAATGCAAGTGCACCCACTTTTCCACACAGCAAGTAGTATAACCATATTGAAAGTTAACATGTGTTTACCCAAATGTCGTGATCATACGAAACTGCTGCCCCTCATGACAAGTCCCTGATAGTTGAGCCCCTTGTATAAAGGCCCCTGATAACTAGTCTGCTATATGGCTGTGGGTCAAAAATGGGTGCCAAAAATGGCTTGCCCTGGTAAATGGAACCACGGACTAAAACCTGCGGTCCGATTCCTGCTGGTTCAATTTTGACTCATACCCAAATGAGAAAAGTTTCCCATGGTCATTTTGGAACCAGGAGTTTGGTCCCTTTTGTCCCTTTTGACTTGGTCATTCCTGGACCCATATAAAGTCTCTGATGCTTGGTCCCTTTTGTCATCGGACCCGGGGATCCCCGGCGATGGCGTGCGTGTTGTCGATGTCCTCTTGGGACATCGTCTCATTGCCCATGAACTCCTCCAACAGCGAGCGGGGAGCAGCGGATGGATTCCTCTAGGCTGATTCCACTTCTATTCTTTTCAACCATGGTTCTTTTCAGAAACCGGATCTGTTTTCCCAGGGTTTTTAAGGTGAATTTCTAGAAAGAACCATCCCTGGAAAGAATGAAGAAGCTACCCTTAGAATTACTGATTCTTGCTGGCTTCAAAAGAATCAAAAAGGGGTAGCACCCCGCAACGAAATTCTTCGGGGTGCCAAAACTCCTCTTGGAAAACCGAAGGAGACCCTTACAAGTACCCCAGGTTGACCCAAAAATGGACCCACTTAAGCGAAAAACAAAGTGAACCGAGGTGCAGTTTGAGGAGACCAAGCGTGCCAAAAACTGCTGTATCTCTGGGGGGTGCACACCAAGGGTTTTCACTGCCCCCCAAACCGGGCTGGGATTCTTTGGTGCTGCCCAAAATGAATCAGTTAGCCAAAGGCGAAGTATCAGCTGGAGCCAAAGGGGCCTGACTAGTCAAAATTGGTGCAACTTGATTCGAACAAGACTTGACCAATACTAGTATACTGCTCCGCGAAATCACGTATGTTAATCTGCCCGGAGTACTACTTTACAGGGGGGTTAAGATTCTATTGGCTGGCCTAAGTTGTATCCCTGCTCCTACCCGGAGCCCAAAGCGTTTGACCGAAACGGGTCCAGGGAACCGGAGCGTTAAATCATTGGCTGGTGAGTTTTTGCAATGCGCTCGTTGGCACATAGTCATCCATTTCCTGCTCATGTGCGATCCATCCCTACGGATCATGTTTTTTGGAGCAAACACCATACTTGCCTGGCTTCCGCAGGAACAAATCACTCAACTCACCTGCTGAAGGGACGTAAAAATCCGGTTGGTTCCCTTTAACAACTGAGTCAATGACTCGAAGGAATGACTGAAGTCCACCTGCACTGGTAACTTGGCTTGCCCCGTGCCCTGCGGTAGAGGAACAACGGACGTTTCAAGCCAGCTTAAAAGGTACAGCACAGTTCCCCCTTCAACATCGGAAAGGGTAAACTCGCGTAAGCTTGGCCGACAAGATCATTCAATGCAGAAATATCCGAAGATAACTTTAAAACGGAAATTAGGAGATCCTTGAAAAAGGATGGCCATCTTTAAAAAAAACCCGGCCTGCAAAACATGGGCCGGCGGGCGACTTTTATGCACCTTTTGAAGCACCTGGTTGCAACCCACCAGACTTTGGGCAATGCAACCGATCCCTTGCAAAAGGCCTCCGAGAGGATCGACACTCACTCCAAGCATGGCCCAAAGCCTGGGCTTCTTGCGGTGAGTGGGGAACTCATGTAATGTTGACCCAGGATGTAAGTAGACCCCGTCCCATGTTTTCCACTAGGGGGGTGGGGACCCCTCCAAAAGTGGTCTGAATCCAACCACTAAAAGGGGACACCCCTCTATTAATCAACCAGGGGAAAATTCATCCGGGGTTAACATTACCCAACAAGTTTTTAGCAGTTGCGTTGTCACCGAAGGCCGAGCGATGCTTAACATGTGTCTACATCTCCGCATGATTGGCTCACTCATGCCCCAGAAGTGTAGGTTCGGAACTCCGCCGACTGAGTTGGCCCAAACAGACAAAGCAACGAGTTAAAACCTCAGAGCCGCATACAATCTCTTTGTTTGTCACAAACACATGGGATTGGGTGCTAAATAGGGGGCCTGGAAAAATTGAAGACGAAAACATACGCTTTTGGTTTCCTTTGCAACCAGCACGCAGTGAACATTCTTTGCCAACTTAACATCAAACCCCCACAAACCCCTGTGGTGGAGGGATCTCCTTGTTGTGGAACCCCCTTTTCGGACTCCTTCCGTACAGACATGAAGCGGCTGACTCCTCTACCGCGGATTTCAGCAGCTGCGTAAATTCCTCGTCCTGCCCTTGGCCAGATGCGTCCTCAGCTTTGGGCAGAGTCCAAAGCTGGGGATTCGTGTCGGAGAGCAAAATGGTTCTGGAGACCCAAGCCAAGCCTCAGATGCCCAGTGGCCAGGGGAAAAAAAGGGCATCCTTTTTCTTGGTGTTGCCAATTCTAGTTTAGTTGGGAAGAACCCGTTTTGTTCAGCAGCCTCCAAACAATTGGACACTAAAGGGACCTCAAAACAATCACATTCAGGAGGATCAGGGCCTCTATGGGCCTCTTGTGGGCAACCCGCTTTCTGTGACTGCTTGCCCGTACTTGTTCGTAAAGTTCTCTCAAATTCCATGGTTTAGGGACTACTTGCAAAATGCCTTTCCTAGAGCCAAGGCCTTTACCCTTTGAGCTGGGAAGAGCTTGGTTAGGTGAACCACCCTAAGAGTAAAAGGCTAAGGTTTTAGTTTAAGAATTTCAGCAACCCAAAAACAGCTGGACACTAAAGAGGACCCCAAAGCAGTCACTGTAAGGAGGATCAGGGCCCCTTTTGGGCAACCCTCTTTGTGTGACTGTTTGCCCGCACTGTTTTTGTAAAGAAGTTGTCTTAAATTTGATGGCTTGGGGACCACTTCAAGAAAAGGTGTTCCTAGTGTTTGCTCGGATTTGGTTGCTTGCTTTTTGCCCGACCAGTTTGTCAAGCTTTGTGTTGCCCATGGTTGACAATAGAGGACCCCAAACTGTCACAGGATCCTGAATTGCCGGAAAAAATGCTACAATAGAGGGCCTAATTCCAGTTGGGGTCCAACATTACAGGGCACTCCCTCCATACAAACAAGTTCAACAAGAAAATGGCCCCACTGAAAGTTTTGGGAATATTCCTTCTGAGTTCCTGCATTAAACGATGCCCTGAGCTCCCGTCATACGCCGGCCGGGTGTGGATCACGTCCAGGATGCTGCAAATCACGTCCGCGATGCGGCCAGTGCCTGGCCAAAGAGAGGCTCGAGCTGGGCAATCTCTCACCCACTTCGCTGAGACGTGAATGGGTTGTAACAAATGGCTTCCGTTATGCTAAAAAACTCATGATTGTCCTTTGGTGCACTGGAACCCGTTTCTTGTAGTCCGTTTGGGCTGAACTCAATGTTGAGCCAGTTGATTAAGGAGTGGCTGCTGAATGGAGGGGCGGATTTAGCGAGAACCTCCCTACTAACTTGCTAGGTTGATTCCGGGGTGAACCATGGTCCGCAGTTTCCAGAGAAACCCACGTCCAAACAAAAGTCATGGGAATCTTCCCTGTTAGCAGGGCTCTGGCATTGTGAGGTCAGGAATCTAGCTCACAAGCCACTTAGCCTCTTCAAGTGGATGGAGTTGACCCAGTTGTAAGTGGGTTGTTATCATCAAGGTGTCTAACCACTTGCTAACTTGGCCGAACACCAAAGGCCAGTGGTCCAAAGGACCTCAAGGGGTGGTGTCCCCAAGGGCAGCAAATGGGTAGCGCCTCTAAAACGGGATCAAAGGGGTCGCGTAACACAAAGGGCCTCTAAAAGGGGTGGCGCAAGCAGATCAAAGGGGTGGTGTGACACAAAGGAGCTAAGCAAGGCAAAGGGTAGCTTTAGTGGTGCACATGGGTCGTGCTGACTTCAGTCGGAGAGACGTGTTTGCAAAGCCGTCGATCAACAAAATGTGTTTGCGCCGGATCCGGTCCAGCACCTTCTGCACGTACTCGTCCGACCGGCCCATGAGCCCGCAGGTAGATTTGCTGTGGCCCTTCACCTTGAGCTTCGCGCACTGGTCAGCAGGCCGGGTTTCATGGTGACAATGGCTGGTGTCGGGCACCTCAGTGATGTGGAGCCACTCCCTTGAAAGGCGCCGGCCAAGGCCAGAGGGCGGAGCGGGCTACGTTGTAGCCCTGTTTGGGACCGATTTTGGGCGATGCAATGCCCCCCCCACAAAAAAAAAGGCGTACAACGCCTCCCGCCCCGCGAACAAAAATGCCCTATCGAAGAACAACTGAACGAAACAAGTCCGAACAATGTGTTGCAGCACAACACAGCATTTAAAGCATCAGGATAGCCAAATAACTGACAACTCCCCCTTGTGACAGCTTGGCTGTACAAGGACGACACCCTAGGGGAAGGAACAAAACTACCTGGCCCATGTGTTTCTTTGATTCTGTCCTTTGGTTCAAATTCACGACGTCGGCAACTTGGCTGCAACCATGGGGGTCTGGGGAATCCCTTGACGGGTCTGATCATTTTCGGGGAGCCGGAAGGTGCAGCTCCGCGGAATTAATTGACTCGTGGGTTAAAACGTTCTGAGGAGTCACACACCTGAAACATCGGATCTCCAGAGTTAAAGCTTTTGACCTGAAATGCAAAATATTCCAGCGGACCATCCAACAAAAGGTCCATATAGAAAACCGGCTTCTTGATTCAGAGACATCCAACAAACAGGGCGAATCGAATTACATCTTGGAAGAAATGGGGTGCTCCACTTTGATGGCGTCGTTTGTTGCTCGCGAAGCAACCCACGGGAAAGAGCATTCACGTCGTTGGACGTTCTGTGGCATGTCAAAAACAGGACCAAACAACAAGCAAATCCCATCTGGAGGTCGATGCAAAATGGTCCACAACTATCTGCAACCTGCTTGACCCCTGAATTCAGGGCTCTTGTTTCTTGGTTGATCAAGCTACGCCAAAAACAGACTTTCAGTTCGTGTTTCATACTTAGTTGACCTTAGCATACATATATGCACGGTAGTCTATATATATATATAACTCTATACAACATGGGTATGTGTCAAAATAGGGGCCCAAAAATGGTGCGTCTCCTTGTGGTTTCCCTCCAAACAGCCCCAAATATATATATATATATATATATTAATATATATATATATATATTGCGTATACCAGTGTATATATATATATACATATTATATGTATATGTAATTTATAGATACACATATACATTTGCTACAGAAAATGGCACCTTCGGAATCCGCTGGAGGGGCCCGTCTTCGCTTTGGCCTTGACATACCACCAGCGGGCAGCCGGTTTTGATCGCCTGGGCGGATGTTGGTAAGCAGGATTCCAACTGAAAGATAGCCTTGCGATTTGTTCTGACATGTTGCTCATGTTGCACACCAACACACATCACACATCACTTCACATATCCTTCCGACCACGTTGCCAAGTAACCCTACCCGAGCTCGCTGGAGAGCCACTTCTTCTTTTTTTGGTGGGGGAGGGAGAGGGTAGACCATCTCGTGAAGCAGTTGGGATGACAGCAGGCAGTGAGGACTTTTCGTCTAAGTCACCATGGTTGATTTGTGGGGTGTCTCACTTCCTGCGTTCCCGGCCTTGAGACTTTTTGGGTTTGGACCATTCTAATGGCAAACAACAAGTTTGGTCACTTTTTGTTTCGCCAATCACCTCAGGAAGTCAAGCTTCACTGTTCTTGTCATTTTGTTTCTGTTCATTTTTAGTAGGTGGCTGCAAAAAGCAACATTTTGTGCAACCATTCCAAGGGTTGTGAAGGATGTGTTGACTTGAACGATTTGGTTGGAATCCGCTGGATCCAGGGGCCAGGAAATCCTCAAGACACATTCGAAGACAATGGCTGTTGCGCCACCAAATCGAGGTCGCATAGCAACCCCTCAAGATAAACTTTCAGCGTGGTGCCAGCCTCTCCTTGGTGAGTTCTCTATGATAACTTGTCCAAAAAGAACACAATAAACATGCTGCCATATGCGGCCCCTCAAAAATAATAATACTGTCCCCAGTGGGGTGCATGCATCAACAGGGAAACGGATTGGAAGCGCCCTTTCTTTGGCATGGTTAACTTCAAACGGACACCTGCCACTGGGTTCTTTCAACGTCGCTTTTGACCATCACTCCACCACCGACAGAAAGGCGCCATCCTTCCATGCAAAGCGGGCCTGCAGGTATTGCAAGCTCTTAAGCTCTTCACCCAAACCCGAGCCATTTTTTTTGCAAGCGCCACTTGGCCTCAACATCTTGATTGTCCCATGCCATGCTTCTCTCAACTTTCGGGTAGATGGGCTCCAAAGTCCTGAATGTGCGAATGCAAACCAGCGAGTTCCCGAGTTCCCTCTGTTTGTTGACACCCAAAAAGACACACAAACAAATGTAGCTCAGGTGGTACATCCCCCAACAGCCCTCCGGAACCATATCCAGCCACTGGTCCGGAATCCTCCGGCACGTCCAGAACCTCCCGGAACCCTCTCCGACCGCCACTCCCCCAAAACCCCGGAAGTCTCCGGAATTTGGAGATCTGCAGCACTCCAGAGCCGGGCAAAGATTGCAGCAGCTGTCTCCTTTCTGAAATGCATGCCGCCTGGTTCAGTCTCCCTCTGGGCAAACTGCAGGAACGTCCACCAAAAATGGGACAAGCAACCTAACGAGCGGATGGCGCCAAGCCCAACCTCTCTCGGTCTGAAGGCCTTCCTTGTGTAGGTATCTTCTCTGGCTTGTGGAGGGTGGGTCAACAGACCTCCGGGTGATGAAACAAGTCGCGCACCCGCGTAGCAAGCAGTGAACTGGTTGCTTGCTACTGAATTCCCCCAAACAGTCCAAAAGCTCAAGTGAGGAATCAATCGGAAGCATCGGAGAAATCGAACCCCCGCCTTCACCAAGGCGTCCAGCGACATCTTCCCACCGTTGACCAGGATCATGACCTGAAAACTGGGTTCCTGCTCTATGTTTTGTTTTGTTTTTTTGACAGGGTGGTATTACACAGTATGGGTCGCAAGGTGGTATCCGAAAAATGGTGGCTTTCTCGTTGGTGTCCCTTTAAACCAGCCTGAGGTACCCCAAAAAACACCCACCCCACACCCCCTTTTGCGCTGATTGATGAGTTTCCTCAGGAAGTGCAATCTACAAACAAAGTGAGCAGGCAAGGCAGCCCCTGGTAGTCTGTGCTGCTTTCTTGGGAGAGGAACGTAGCAGAGTCCTAATTCACGATATATCCTCTGGTCGGCCCTACAACCGTAATGATCGAATTGCAAGTCATATTTCACGTTTCAGGGTCTGAAAACAGCTCCAAATTGGCATAGCCAGCTTTAAGCAAGCACGGCCCCCAGAATCAACAAGCATGGCAAAAAGGGCCTGAGTAGGGAGATCACAACCCCCCCCCTCCCCCTGTTTGCAACAAAAAACAACACAACACGCCTGGCGTCTTCAAAAATGGGCGTGTCTGTGTTTAGGGTACCCCAAACAAATATGTTTTTGTTGGATGCCCCTTGAAACCACCAACAAGGGGACGATCGCCCCAGCTACACCAGTTCTAGCCATGAAAGTAACCTACTTGCCAGTCCTCCATTTGCTTAAGCCGCCTGGAGAATTGAGAACATGTTTGCGACACGTAGTGATAGATTCCCTGTAAACCCAGCAGGGCAAAACAAAATATATTGCTATGAGTTTCATCAGGGACCCTTTGCTGGACATCATTTAGGTGGGCATGCATGTCCACCAGTCACTTTTTAGCTGGTTCCCCAACAACATTCATAGCCATATTCATTTCAGCAAATGGACGCAGTTGGTTAACCCCAGCACCAGATAGAACCACGGACTTAGCCTACTTCCCTGATGTTGGTTCCAAGAACCGCAGCTCCGCGCTTTCGAACCTCCACCGATGCCGAGACCCCCGGCACGCGGGACCGCCATGGCGTTCGTGGAGCCCTGGAAGTGGCAAGCGGCTCCGCTCAGCTCAGCATGGGTGGAAAAACATGAGGGGACCAGTTGGACTGTTTCCCAAAACTCAGTTGGAGGTTTGAGTCCTTGGTTCCATTTGCCAGGGGACCAACCCATTTTGGGGTTACCCTACTTTTGACCCACAGCCAGCTGATCAATGTAGAGGATTGACTGACTACTCAGTTCTTCAGTGACCCTGGAAAAACTGGGAACCCTTTTGGGGAAAACCATTCTTAGTGGGGCCACAAAATAGAAAGGACAAATAATTGGTGCCACTGAACAACTGAGAAAAGGAAGCGACTCCTCGGCTGGTGTCCGTCTTGTTTCTCCCTGTCTCAAGATTTGGAACCGCGATTGTGAGAAAGCGCTCCCCAATTTTGGCTGTGGGTCACAAACAGGTACCCAAAATGGGTCATTGGTAAGTAGAAACATGGACGAACACCTGCGGTCTGGTTTAATTCTGAGCCATACAATTTATTGGTCTTTGGATCTTGACAACATTTTGTGGGACACCTCCTTCGCTTGGACATCTGCTGGCTGCTTGGCCAAGCGGCGGCTTGGCATTTGAGTCAAGCGGGTGGCTTCTCTACACCTTTCACTGTGGCCACTTCACACACCGGGTTGTTCACCAGACCATCATAAATCCATCATGGAGGTTATAAATGTCCAGGTGGAAAGACTAAACGTTGCACTGAGAACGCCCGTCTCAACCCATATTTTTTGTGATTGGAACTTGGGCGGTCCCTTATCGCCCTATCATCTGCAGTACTTGCTGTAGCTCGTTTGCTAGAAGGAAGGAATCTGCCAGCAGAGACCCCTCATGAGGGGTTCGCCCGTAACCCGGGTCGGCCAAAGACCTGGACTGTCGGCGCAAGCCCACCCAAAGACCTAAAGAACTTCCGAATGTGAAACCAAAGGAGACCGACCAATTTCCTTCCCTTGAGGTTTTCACACCAGAGCAAACTGCCGTCCTTGGCCACGTAGTCTTCGAAGAGAGTCCCTCGGTTGAGTTGTTCACACTCCCAACTGAGGAAACCATTGCTCACTTGCAAGCAAAGGAAAAAAAGGTCGATGTTCCCCAAGGACCCCGGCTGTTTTCGGAGTCTTCGTTTGATGGCTCGGGGGTTCATGACGCTTAGGGCTTAGGGCTTTATTTGTAGCTTCCTTGAAGGAATCAAAGGAATGATTTCAGATTTGTCTGGCTACTGGAGATCCAACCCTTTGCAAGCCCGAGCATTCGTGAGCCTTCGGGTGGATAATTATATAACCAATGTTGAAGGGGGCCACCCATTTAAGTGGGCGGGGACCCCAATCACTTGAGGAATTGGAAGAAAGCCGGCACCAAAACTTCGCCAGGATCAAACATGAGCTTTGGATCAAGTACCAGTCTCCCAGTGAACTGATTGAAGAAAAGGGGAATTATGGTTGACACAAAAACCCACCAAACAACAGAGGAACATGGGTGGGCAAACAGTCATTGTGTGAGAAGAATGGGCGCGTTTTGTTTGAAGGCTACCCGTTTGGTGTTGGTTGAAGAGAGAAGCCTAATGGAACAAACCCAGTCTTGTGGGCCGCTATTTTAAGACACACACACACAGACCCACATGCCCTTCACGAACAAAAGGCGCACGGGTATGCGTGTAACTAGGGATGCATTGCAGTGTTGTAGTTGGCTTCCTTCGCAGACCGCTGCTGAGAAAGGTCCTGCTTTCTTGACACAGATATGTGTTGCTAGGTTGTGTGGACCTTTGAGCAGCAAGGAATGCCTGTTTGCTGGTTGAACATGATTCAAAGCGCACTGAAGGACACCCTTCAAGGGGAATGGGCAACAGATGAGTCAAATCTCGCAAGTTGAGCTGTCCTTTTTAGGGCAAGCCCCAATATGACGTGCTTCCTGTTGGTTTCCTGTTATTACCACAACATGGGGTACCCGCACCAAAGAAAAAAACCATCTGCAGCTATATGCACCTTGCTTGACCGAAGTTTTAAGCCAGGGCCAGGGCGGAAAGTGATCTCCGAACTGAAGGTCGCATTCCCCACCTGCGAGGCAAAGGACTCGAGGTGAGTTACGTGCTTCATTGCCCGTGCCTGGTATAACCGGTTGCGCCGAGTGGCCGTGGTAGGGAAACCAAGAAGGCTGTGTCAAAGATGTGGTTGGAGTTAAGTGGTTCCTCTGTGCTACCCCTGTCCTGTGACTCAGTTGGCTGTTGGCTTGGCCTGCAGAAGTCGGCCCAAGATGGTTGGCCCAGCGGTGCTTACCTTGCCGCCTTCTCGATGTTAAGCCCAACCGAAAATATTCAGGAGCCAAACACGCAAATGACTGAAACACACCAGGGACCACGGGGAAAACCATTGTCGATGGTCTATTTGAAGGGAATCTCGCCAAACAACACATTTGCTGGTTGGTCGAGTTTGATTAAAGCCTCTAATGGCCAGGGGAGAAAGCATCCTGGGGGCGTGAGAAATGTCATTAAATGGGGATGGTGTTCTCAGGCGCCGTCACAAGATGCACCTAGGCATTTCAAAAGCCTACGTCAACGTCAAGAGCTCCCAGCCCACTTTCAAAGCTCTAAAGCCAAAGGCCCGCCCCCCAGGAAAGGTTCCTCTTGGAAGCTGATCCAAATAATTCAGGGTTCCAATCGAACCTGTCTAGGGGAGCCTTGGTGCTTCACGAAAAAGCCGTGCCTTGAAAGGTGAAGCTTCGACAGGGTGGCTAAAGCAAGAGGTTCCCATAAGTGCTTGGGTTCCTTTTAATTTGCCCCTACATCGACAAGAAACGGATCCACACACGTGACACTCCAAAAGTCCCAAGAGTTCCAATCCCTCAACATCCCTCAACCCACATGATGAGGGGACCCACGCCAGTATCGCGGACTCGCTTCCCGGCCTCGCCGTTGTCACATACGATGAAGTGCGAGTGATTGTCCTGTGCTCCGAAGCTTGAAATTTAATTGAGCCGCCAACCCGTTGTACCAAATGCACGCGAGCGCCGATCTTTGAAAGCCACCAGCATGCCAAGCGGGCATGAAGGCGCAAGACAACAGTATGTGACTCATGCGAACACTTGTCCAGAATTTGCTAACCTGAAGCAACAAATCCTGCACGCAACTTTCATGTTTAAGCTCGCTTGAGAACATGCCTCGCAATGCCTCCCCAAAAAATCATTTTTCGAACATCTCCCGCGAAACAACTTGCTCCGAAACGCCTCAGGGCTCACAGAGCCTATTTGCTCGGGCTGCCGAGACACGCGACTCGTGGTATGCCAAGCAAAATGATAAGACGCGAGGGGGCGAGACAATTCTACTTGCCGGTGTATTTTTCCCCTCCTGGATGCTTGTTCTTTGTTTTTGTCGTGTATTGGTCACCCCTTTGATAAGACCTTCCCAGGACTTGGCGGCCATAGCATCGATTCTGTCGCTGTTGGAGAACACACGCACTTGATAGTTACTTCGTTTTGTGATACTGAATGCCAATCAAGGACAAAGACAAGCTGGGCCTATTCCAATGCCATTCTCAGACATACCCTCTGGGTGATGAAAAGAAAACCCGATATACAAGGGAAACGGCCCCCGCCCAAACCGTTCAGTTTGGAGGCCCAGCTCCACAGGGACAGACACACGCGAAAATACAACACAATGGCAACGGTATGCAAAAGCTAAAAATGCCGAGAAGATGCCGCCCAGAAAACAAGCCTGACTTTGATGATATTTCTAAACAGAAGAAAAACCAAACAATAAAAACACAAACACTGTATTGTCACTGTCACGTTTGAAAGTTGCATTTGTTTGTTAGGGGAATTCTGCGCCGGACCCAGCCTAGATAGGGTAATGTGACTTTGACCCCAAATGGACCCGTGTCAAGTGGTTCAAGCACTCTATAATATTCCATGCTCAACTATATTTACCCTCCAAATGGGGCATCATTTGGTATATCTTACCTGCAGAAAGTGGATTTAGTGGGATTGGGTTTGGTTTTGAGGTTCGGAGTAAGCTTGCAGGAGACGCACAACACAAGGCAGAGAAAAAAAAGCGCAACCAAACGAGCCAACATGCAAAAGCCAACAAAAACGTCAAATCTGCGGACAACAAACAAATGGACAAAGGGGAAATTTGAAATAGTTCTCTACTTGCTCCCAATACTTTGTCTTTCAGTACTATCATGAAGGCTTTACCATGGATGGAAATGAAAGCAAGTGAACCAACTTCAGAAAGCGCAGGGGCCACCGGGTGTGTCCTTCCTTTTTGTGTGGGTATTTCTGTCTCGTGGATGTTTCTAGCAGAAACCAGCCGAAAAACCCACCTATCTGCTTGAGGGGCCCTAAAAAACCGGACGTGCTTGCAGGGTCCAACCGGAAAACCCATCTGCTTGACAGGTGCCATTTGGGTACATTTTATTGAGCCACAGCCACCTAAAACAGAGTCCCAAGCTGGGCATGGCTCCTGCAGCGCCGCGAGGCCTTTCTCCGCCTTCGCCGCCGCAGCCGCGTCCACCTGAATCGAGCGGACCTGGTGGTTTCCTGGTGGTTTCCCGGTGGTTTCCTGGTTTCAAGGCTCAAAGTGCAAAAACGGTAAAAAGAGGGGTGCAAAAAGGGAACAAGCATCAAAGCGAGCGGGTCAAACAAAAAGAGGCAAGAAGAGGGGGCAGAAAGGGAAAAGGCCTCCAAAAAGGAGGGGTAAACGACCTTAAAACCGAAGGGAAAAAAAAGGTAAGGCCTGAAAAGAGGGCTGGTTCCCTTTGATTCGTTGGTTTCACAACCCCTCTCAACACCACACGCCTGGCGTCAAACCAGAAATGAGCGTGTCCTGATTTGGGCTACCCCCAAAATCACGGCTTTCCTGTTAACACCACCAAAAGAGGGTGCCAACTCAAAGAAAGGCACACCCAAAACTGGAGCCAACCCAACTTGGATGCTCAACCAAAGTCAGGTGAGTAGGTTAGTACACCATGGCTATAAGTGGACTAAGTCCAGTTACACCAGTTATAGCCAGGGTTTTATCTAAGTTGGGTGAACATTCAAGTGGGGGGAAATGCAACGAACTAGCGGTAGTCTGACATTCCTTGCTCCAGGTCTTCGAGAAAAGGTGAACTAGCGGTAGTTTGACATTCCTTGCTCCAGGTCTTCGAGAAAAGGTGGCTAAAGTTCACAACTTTCATCGCGGCTTTCTTTCCTTGATGTCTCAATACAAGGACAGTGCGGACGACTCCCGCAGTACTTATTTGAGGGCTCCTTTTACTAAGATGTGTCTCTCACTAATTTATTCTGTTCCCACACACACACACACAATTTCGGTTGGCAATCAGGAGGTTTGCCACCACAGGGGTTTTGATATGTCCGATTCATCGCAGAAAAGGAAGCTAACCTTGCAATTGCTTGGTTGACGTTAGTAGGGGGAGCACAAATTTAAATTTTAGCAGTTAAGTGGTTGGATTTCAACCACACAACCACAATAAGCAAAATGACAAATGTTTCCCAACAACCATGATTGCCCAACAGGCTTAATGTTTAAATCACATGTCAAGGGACTCTGGGCCCAGGCCAAGCAACACAAAAATGGAGAGGGGAGCACCACTTATGAGTCGCAATCAAAACCTGGTACTAAAATGGCCATGTACAGGATTAAGAAGGCGCGCGCAGCTATTTATTGTTGGGATCGTCCCTTACTAACCTTCATCTACCCGGGTTTTGATTGTGGCTCATATTGGCTTCCTACTTGACATATTGAAAGGTCGGGGTTGAAAGCTGGTTGATTCCATTCGTAACGACCAAACGTCATAGTTAGGCCCCTCTTTCGCGTTCCACTTAACCTGGTTTGGGCGCAATATTCTATGGTCAGTACCTCTTCAATGGGCAGTCGGCGGTCAACCTTCAATTAGACTTGCTCCTGGGGTGTCAACAATTGTCAACCAGGGTGACAACAATCCAACAATCCCCATATTCACGCCTTGGCATATTGGGCTCCTGCAGAACAGTTTGTAGAACGTTGGATGACGGCTTGGAATGAACCCTGCTTGTTGACAAGGTACTTTACATGATCAACAACTTGGACAGAGTGGTGTAAGTGTGTAACGATTCGGGGCCCATTGACTGGACAGGAAAAAAACAGAAGGCTTCCATCCTCTTGAAAAGGCCCCTTGTTCACCGTTATGATTGATGAAACAAGGCCATACGCTTTTGAACAAACCCAAAATAGCCAACACTTCCTCCAGCAAAACAAAGTTGCAACACCCTGATTTGGGAGTGAGAAAATGTTGCTCCCAACCCCCAGCAGGGCCTTCTCCCTAAAGCGCCCTCTATGACACGTAGCTTCGCTCGCTTCGCGCCTTTGTCTTGCTGTGGTGCTCCTCAGCGAGGGGACAGGGGTGCGAAGTGGGGTAACCAGGGCAAAAGCCACGCAGCAATTCAATTTTGGTGTCAGAGGACGAAATTAAGCTCACTACCTTCTGTAATAGCAACTAGGAGTGCTAAATTGAAGTGGTGGCAACATAGTTGCGTTACGGTGCGTATAAAGTGCAGGACAGCCCAATGCTTTTCTTAAGCCTTGCCCTCCCTTTCAACACACGCTCAAATAGACTCCGGCAATCCTCAAACTCCGAACACAACAGGGATCAAACCGCCCCCAAGTCTAAGTGGAGTTGGCCAGTAGATCAACCACTTCCGAACCTGGTCGAACACACAAATAGGAATGAAGCAAACCAAATAACTTATTCACCCAGGCGGGGTTCACATTGCCAGGAAAAGCGCGGAGTACAAAATCTCCCAAGAAGTGACGTTTCACTGGTACCGCACCGGGCAGGGCAAGCCTCTAAGTTGATATGGCCAACTACAATGCTCTCCCGAAAGCTCACGGAGGGGCTAGTTCCCGTGAGAATCATGCCCAGCGGATCCCGGCAATCCGAATACATGCCTTGACTAACAGGGAGCACACCAGAAATGCGGCCTTTTAGAGGAACATGTGCTTCCGAGCGCAGCAAGCTTCATGTCGGTGAATGAGATATCGGCAACGAGTCAGAACCCGAGGCACCAAGGCTGCCACGTAGGGCGAACACAGGATCTCCCGCCACTTGCTGGTCAGCGCACCTCGGGATGTTTGCTTGACGCCGCTTAAAGTTTCGGCCAATGGTAAAAGCAACTGATGGGGGCATGACGCCGTTGTTTGTGTGTCACCAAGCACAATGGGAAATATGCCCACAATGCGATGATCTCTCTAGCAGAAATCCACAGCAGTCGGATTATTCAGCACACGGTCTGCTGGAACAACTTGGGCGCGACTGGATATTTGATTATATTTGGACCTTTCCAGGGCTTTGCCGAGGTGTGGCTTTGGCGGCACCAATCAAGAAATACGTACCTGCCATGATATTTCGGTCAATTGACAACTGCTCTGCCCAAACACAATTGAAACATGCCAAAACCAAGCGAAGGGCGTAATGATCCCAACACAAGTCGAGTCCTGCTTAGATTGCTTCTCGAAATCGCTGAGCGAACTGAATCCCCCAACATAGCCTTACCCCTGGAATTCAAAAGGCCTTTTCAGAAACGGCCGTTTGTCGAAGAGCCATTTGTGGCAAGAATGCATGTTTTCACTGGTTCCGAAGAGCCATTTCTGGATTCCCATGTTGGCCAATAAGTAAGACCACATTTCTGGCTACCATGTTGGCCAATAAGCAAGACCCCCCCCACACAAAGCTGGCAATCATATAGGCCCCAAGCTCACATTAGCCAAGTCAGAATTTGACTCCCTGAACTTCCAAATTCCTTTGACTGGCTGTTTGTCGAAGGACCTAAAAAAGAAAAAACACGTTTTCAGTAGCTTTGGACAACCATTTGCGGAGCTCGATGTTGGCCAATAAGCTACCGCGGCCGTAGTCCAGCCATCACGCAAGCCCGTGTTCAAGCTAGGCTCGTTTGGAATCGCCTTTTGTCTTTGAAAAGGTCGCGCAGCTCTGTAGACTTCAGCTCCGCCACTTTAACTTGCATGCCTTTCAGGCTGAGGTGGCATTCGGCAGGATGTCCACGGTTTGTCCACTTCCCTAAATGGATGTTCCACTCCCAGAAATGGCTTTTCCACGCCCACAAATGGCTCTTCCACGCTTTGTCCACGCTTTGTCCACGCTCCAGCTGCTCCGATGCTGTAAGACGCCCATTGCGCCAACACGCGCACGTAAGAGCGAGCAAGCTCACATAACACACAAGGCTCCTGGCTGCCGGGCCATGACAACAGCCGTTTCGAAAAATGCCGCTCGACGAATTTTAAACAGACGTTTGTAAGGACCCTAAAATGGTCCAGCGTTTCCTTAGAATGGTCGAGGGTACCTAGGCCTTTTCAGACATGGGCGAGGACGCCCAGGGTTTGTAAAAATGTAGTTTGCCTTGCTCAAAAGCTCTCAGAGCTATTGGCCAAGACCTTCAAAAGGCAACCCCAACCCACTGAAGCACACTGAATCGCAAAGCAATGCCATACCTAAGAGCCATTTCAGAATTGGCCGTTTGATGTTCCTTAATAGGCCGTTGGTGAAGACCCACAAATGGCCGAGCATTTTCTTAAAATGGCCGAGGGGTACTAGGCCATTTCAGAAATGGCCTCCGACGTCCAGGGTTACGGGTTGTTCCCAGCGTTGAAATCTCCTCACCTCTTGGGCGGTGGAAATGGAACAGGAATCCTTCACTTCCATGTAGAAGCCCCCAAGCTCCAAGCAGTCGTACGTCAAGCAATCCTCAACTGGATTGGATTGGTAGCCCTTAACCACATTCAACCACCAATCCACGCCATTAAAGGAGGAGCTGATGGTGGGCCACGAAGGGCCCAAGGTCAGAGGCAATAAGCAATACCGTTGATCGCTTGAAATCCGGCGAGTGAAATGGGTCATGTTGACCCCATATTAATTAACCCCTGTATATTAGTATGGGGGTGTCACAGGTTCAGTGGGGATTAGTCACATTTGGAGCGGAACACCCCCCCTTATTTATCATCATTAATAAACAGAGGTTGATTAATATGGGGTCAACATCCCAACAAATGATGGGCTTTCGTGTTGGTGCTCAGGACTTCCTCTCTACCCCCCCCCCCCCTCCCCGCACAAAAAAAAAGGCACCCTCTTGTAACACGCACACACCCCAGTCCCCATCACCTCTCTGAGAGCTCCGGCCAAAGGGGCTGATGCCAATGCAGGGCACCTCCGCAGCAGTGGCACACATCGCATGGCCAAGCCCAGGTCTCAGAGACTTTCTCGTGAAAAACGACAAAATGCCAGGCTTTCCACAGCACTAGGTGAATTATAATATTTCACCAGCTTGAAATAAGGTGGTTGGAGGAATATTCCCCACATAAACCACCGGTTGGGGCGAGGTCGTGTGAGGTCGTTATAATTCACCCAAATAGCACATTCCTCCGGTTTGGCCAGGGGGTGATTCTTGAAAGGTTCTCATGGAATGTATGGCCTCAAATTTTCGACTCCCCGAAGGCAATTCGGGAAAGTTGGCGGCAACTTCGACTTGTTCTCGAAGCAAAACTCGGGCCGCAGGGCTGGTCAAGGGAACCTTCTGAGAGGTTCAGAAGTTCTGATCGATTTGGATTGAACCTTTCTGGCAGTTTTGACTTCAGCCTTTCCGTGAGGCTCCCCTGTTGGATGTTGGGACAACGTTCTGGGAGACCCGCTTTCAAGACCCAATGAGTCAGGTCACGCAGAGCCAACTGCGTGACCGGATTACCAGACCAATTGCTTTCCTTTTGGATGCCACCAAGACAACGTATTATGTTTTCCGGCCATAATCATGAGAATGTCCCGTGAAAAGCAACAGGGAAAACCGAACTAACAACAACCTGAAGCAACCAAAAGGAAAGGATGCCTGTGCTTTCATCAGATGAACTTATGCTGCTGCGGCAAAGTAACAAAGCACACACGTAACACTTGTCTTCCAAATGGCTACGCATGGCAACGACCGGGTGCTGCATCCCAAGACAGGAGTCATAAACAAAACTTGCTATTGAAGGAATCAATCCAAAACTCATGCAAAAGAATCAAACGGGTGGACAGTCGCAACCGGTTTCTAGTTGGGAAACTCTTCTACTGAATTACCCAGGTGTTTGTGTTCATTGCGGCAGAGCTGTGTTGGCAAGTATATAATATGGTCGCGGTCGAGCTCCCGGATCCTCACGCCCCAACTACGGTCCTCAAACCAACCTCCTGGAGCCCCCGGACTCACACCCTTGCATTGCGACACCTAGAAGCCCAACCCACAACCAAGCCTAAACCAACCCTAAACCCTTCACTGAAATCCAGGAACCATCTGCCCGCACCCAAATTGCATTGCGGGCCAAACCCTATGACAAAACATGCATGTCCTGCACCTAGGCCTGCCGGTCTGGTTCAGGGGTACACACACCCGGCGTTCGCCTAGGCACCCTTATGAACCTCGCCCTGATGGCTGCCCTCATCTGGTCGCTCTCCGTGCTATCCGGGCGCCAAGAAGTCAATTGCCAAAGCGCTCCTGTTGCTCTAGCCATGACTCAAAATTGGCCAACAACGAGAAAACCAAAGGTTGAAAGGTCGGCTTTGGGCAAGTTAGTAAGACTCTTATGCTGTTCCCGACAGGTGTGCCCAATACGGACAACATCGCCTGGCGCTGCTTGTCGTGGCGCTGCATAGCCTGCGATGCGAGATCCAGGGCTGGGAGAGCGGGAGCCTGTCAAGCATGAAGGCATGACCCCCCCTCCCGCCTAGGAAGTGATTGATGAGTTTAATTCTTCCAGTTGTTAAGCCCCTCAGTAATCCCGCTTCCCTCACCTATAAACTAGTTAGGGGGACTTGTGTACCGGAGACAATACTGTCTAAGTGATCCGCTTGACTCATCGTTGCTTGATGGCAGAAAAATACTCCCTTTTTTGGTGGGGGAACATGCACTCTGGGCCCTCCTATCCCTGCCTGAGCTCGCTTGAGCGCCAATTTGTAAAGGGAAACCACTAAGAGTAATCTTGCGAACCCCATTCAAACTGAAGACCTCAGGGTTACCACTCCTTGGGGTACTGGGGCCTAAATAATTGGAACGGGTTTACTTTCAAACAGATTGAACCCGAAAATATATATCCAAGAACTCCCGCGGGTTGCTCCTTTTTTCATTTTGGGAGGGCAGCGAGATAGATCGACGGATCGTCGCCTTGCCCACGATATCCATGACCCCGCTGGCAGTGCCGCCCGTGATGACCCAGGCGCAGGTCCGGGTCGCAGCCTGCCGCATGAACCCAGGGATTCCGATAAAGGAAACCACAAGGGATGGTTTACAGGGGTCCTGTTCTCCTTGCCTGGAGCACCAGCAAGTTTAGTTTCTCATTAGCCCCAACAGCCGGAAGCGAAGCTATGGGGTGTTTGCTCAGATAGGCTCCGGAGAGATTCGCAGTGGCTCCGGAGGGTTGGTTTGTGAGGAGTGAGGATTGGCTTTCTTAGCTTCCCCAACTTGGCGGGAACAGCCCCTAAGAAAGGCGTAGCCCTGGAGGCGGGGTCTAAGGCGAGGGAAGGGGGGGGTGAGGTCCTGAGATACCTGGGATTGGTTGGTCCATCTCTCAAAATGAGAAATAGGCAATTCCTGGCAGGTATGGCAATTCCTGTCAACCCTGTTTGGCTTCCTGTTGCTCTTGATGTCCAAGCCTTGCCTAAGGGGTCACCCCGAATCCAAACCCACAAGACCTCTGAAAAACAAACCGCCCAAGACCTCCCGCGTCTTTCCCCAGGCCTCAACTTTCACGAGCAAGGCACGACCTGTGACCGTCTTGGCCACGCTTTTTACTGACCCATTTCATGGCATAGCGTGGCGGTCGGGGAAATCAACGCGGGTATCAAGACCACAGGGCAAAAAGGGCATCTACCTGGTCAGGCTCAAGTAAACCAAGCAAATCCCCTACCATACAAATGCGCTCAACCTTGGTAAAACGGCAACATTTTACTCCTCTGGGCGCTTGGTTGCCTTGCCCTTAAAAGGGCGTATTCCGGTATACCCTCAACAAGAGACAACACCCATGGCCCCTGCCGTCTCCGTCTGTCTCCCGTCTGAAGGCGTTACCTACCCGGCCCGCCTCTACCAGGCCCTTGGAAAAGCCGTCGATGTCGAACTTGTCGGGCGCCAGGTTCATGTTCCCCGCGCCTCGGGTCAACAGATCTGCCCATTGGCCACCAGTGCCACTGGCCGGCGGCCACTCGACTGCTCAACCACACTTGTGGCTTCCCCTTGGGGGACATGGTCCAATTCTTTCAACCAACTTCGCGACACCTTGACTGAACGAGGTTTGGATCTGGGTACCCCTGAAAATGGGTGGCCCTCCAAACACAAACTCACAAACACGCAGACACACAGGAACATAGGTCCTCGCGGATACTGGTTGGAATCCTTGATTAAGTGCATTCATATCCCTGGCTTGCATTCAACTGCATGTTCATCGCGGGTGAAGCCTGCTCACGGTTTTCAGTGTATTGCGTGCGTGTCTCTGCCATCCGTCTCTTGCAGCTTCGAGTACCTTTGACTTGCAATGGATTCGGCACCGAATTCCATTAAACTCGACCCAGCGGGTGGGCCAGACTTCAAGGACATCCAGAAAAGAAAACCTGCTAGCCCTGGGATTTCCCATGAGACAAAATACGCTGGGGTCCGTGTGTTCAATCGTCCGGTACTAAACTCCTCAGGATACTCTCAGGATTACTTCAAACTCCACGGAACAGCGTGTTAAAGAGGCTACTTCGAAGCCTAAAAGGAAGCAGTTGTTGTATTTAATCGTAACAACAACAAACTCACGGGTCCTCAAACCAATCATTTAGAGCGGATGGAACCTTCCAACGTGCGCCAGAGCCGCCCCAAACCCATTGCTGGATTCATCCCATACCTGTTGCCGCTCGGGGAAAACATGCATACTAGTAGATAGTTACCAGCCTTACCTTCCCTTGGTCATGACTTACAACAAGTAAGTTGGTTGGTCTTATGGTGCCCCACCCAGCTTGAATAATCTATGCCTGCACTGCTACCGTCGCTTGCTGAGTTATCCAAAAAAAACTGGGCGCTCCGCCGCCCATGATGGACAACACCAGGTTCGGGGTGCGCAAGTACCACACCTCGCGGAGTAAGAGCCGTTTGGCTTCCTCCTGAAACCTGAATTCGAATCCCAAAAAACAAAAAATAGCTCGGTGAGGAGAATGCAGAAAAAAACACGGGCAATTGCTGTTGCAGGCCTTTTTTGTGTCTTCTTTGCTTTGTTTCCTTTTGGATCCCTTCTTGGCTGGGCACGTGCCGCAGAAATATAGTTTCTTGAACTGGGGGTACCAACCTGTCTAGGTTTGGGGCACTGAGGCTAGGGCCACGCAGTTGTTTATCGAGATCTAGGTAGTTAGTTTGGAACTTTAAAACAAGAGTCAACCCAGCTATCCATGTGCTCACCTGTCTTGCGAACCGTTTTGCCTGACCCTGGTTCACATGGTTGCGCCAGCATCCACACTTGCAATCTGGCAACCTGACCCAAGGAATCTTCAAGGGACCTAAGAGATACTCCATTCGGTGACCGGTTGTCTCCTGTGGCTTGCCTGGATGCACTCGGAACTATGCTGGTTGCAAGCTACCCGTGGGCAAACGACATGTTTGTTGTCGTCCTCTTGGAGAGGTCTCTTGACACATGGTTGTTGTTTGTAGCATCAGCGCCCTTGCAAAGCGTATCTTGCATTGGTCACGGGGTTAAACCATGGCATATCTTTAGCAAAGGGTACAGGCCCTTGGCTTAGTTTGGACCCCTGCAAGATGCGAGTGACATTTCGGCTGGTGAAAGTGTCGTCACGTTTCGAAACATAAGGACATTTCGGTTGAACCAAAGGGCAACCAAGATTCCAGCCGCCAGGTTTGTCTCAGAATCGTACACTTGGGAGGCTTCCTGTTACCTTCCCTTTGATCCCCCCCAAGAAAAAATACAAACAAAGAAACAAACAAAGTGGTCCAATCGAAATATGCGCGTGGCGCCGCCTGGCAGCCTGGCTATTGACGCCTTACATGTGTAATAGGCGCTGTATGAAATGCACGATGTAGCGAACGGCAGCACCCTAACAACTTAGCCGTTTGATACATAAGTCAGTCCTGAGTCCTGAGTGGCCCACTCTTTTACTATTGGCATGGCTGTTCGTTTCTTGGCTGGGTCCTCCAACGCGAAATTAAGGGGAAAACCACCAATTTGGCGGTTGCACTATGATTGAGACCTTAAGCCCATTAAATGCCCAATAACTCCATTTTGTGACTGCTCCACGGTAGACTTAAACCTGGTGGCTCATTTCCCTAGGAAGAACGCTGGGTTTACGCCTGTCACAAAATGGCACCCTGTGCCTGACCTCAAGAAAACGAGCTGAGAGCCCACGCCGGGCCAATCACTTGCTCGAAGACGTCCTTCGGAGGCGCGCTGTGGGAGATCACGCAGTACCTCAGACCAAGGATCGCTGCAACCAACCCCCCACCGTCCAGCAGCAAGTAACCAGGGAAAACCATCATGTAAAGCCTAGAAGTCAGAAGGTTGCCATACTGGGAACTGGAAGTAGGGGCTTATGCTAGCAAACAAAGCGGTTTGCAGCCCACTAACATGCTCAAATAACGGCTCAAAAACATGCTAATGACAGCGAAGCTGCGGTGAAGCCCCCTTCCCCATGCTTCCCTTGCGGCAAACGTTGTCCCTTGAACTTCGCTTACGCACAACAGGTTTGCTTCCCTACCAACTACAGTTTGGAACTAGTTCCCATGCTGCCGTTCCAATGCATGCCGCGCCGTCCTTGCAGGGACCTGAGGGGGAAACATGACAGACCAATCGGACACCCTCATATAATTTACGCCCAGAACTCCACTTAGTGGGGGCAAAAAAGGACGCCCTTTTGGTTGGTCAGCCCAAATATATCTAATTGTGTTTTGGCCAAGATGCGGCGATATGATGCTCAACTGCCAATTGGGGGTTGATAGTTTGCCTTCTTTGGGGTTGGTTTGAAGGGATGCCAATGGGAAACCAAGCCATTTCGGGCGTTGCCTATTTGTTAGGACAAAGCAAATGTATCCCGCTTCCCCACAAAGATCACCTGGAATCATAACTCATGCAAATTCTTGCATTCAGTGACACCCGAGGGTGATTCTCACCCAACCGGCAACGCATTCTCTTTGTCTTGGAAAAAACCGTGCAAAGACTAGGAACCTCCCCAAAGCTCCATTTTGAAGAGCCTTGGCGTATGACAGAAGTGATCAGCTCATGAACAACAAAGGACCGCAGAAGCAATGCGTTGAGCTGACCCTTGAACAGGGGACATTCGCAAGGTAACCTTGGTCATACTAATGCTGTCCAGGATCAATATACTCTTGGTTGATTGATAGACAGGCGCAAGCCCTTCTGGAGGGGATTGGATTGCCTTTGGGGACTTGGAAGCACCCCCAAAGAAATCCAACAGGATCTACTTGCATTGACATCCAAGGTGCCACCAACGTACCTGTACCCGTCAGCCGTCACGTTTCCACAAAACCCACAGGTTGAAAAGTAGTCGATCAACCTGAAACGAAAAGATGTACCATGATGTACCATACTGTGGATGGCCGAAATCCTGCACTACTTGAAACCATGGGAGACCAGAGTGTGTTTGTAGTTACTGAAGAATCGAAACAATCCAGGGTTTCTGAACGGTGATTCGACATAGATGTCGCAATCATCCACAGTATTATACCACCCCCGCCCCATGTCGTTCTATACAAACAGACCAAAACGCCCGTCATCTCGCATCGAAATTTCTCAGCCAGAAGTCGGAGACGTGCCCCCATCGAAGGCGATCTCTGCCGCCACCTCGGTCCCCAGACCTCTCTCCAAGAGAAACCTCTCAACCTACTGGCGGTGCCCCCGAGCACCAGCTAAATACCTTAGCAAGAATGACCACCAGACCCAACTAGGTTTCTGCTAGGCTGGCCTCGTGATTTGACCATTGTCAAACTCACCCCTTAAGTGGTAGGCTAAAGGGAAACAAGCCCTGGCTTTTGACTTTGATAAGCCCCAGAAAGAGTCAAAGTAATGATCCCAAACAGAGTCACCAAACTATACATGGACGTGGTGACAAATAGGGAGCGAATCGGGGGGCATCTGAGAAACACACACACAAGCACATCTCCAGCTTCTTAGTCTCCTGGAAAACAAAGCCTCCAAACAACACACCCACCCTACATGATATGCAACCAAACACCCAGAGAGGTCAAATAGGGGGCGAAACAAACCAACATCCATCTCGATCCTTTGCTTTCCTCAGCTCTCCGGGTAAGCGGCCCTCAGCTTTCCACCGCCATGCAGATGTGTGCCAAGAAACATATGGAAGCCCTGTAAATACTGGTTGAGAAACCAGCCTCTGGTCATTAAGTGGGACTTTCTTCCATCAAAACTGAGGAACTGAGAACAGGCCATGAGTCTTGTTAGAGTTCCAAGTGGTTGGTGAGCATCAATCCACACCCAAATGATCATAATGATGTCTACCAAAGGGTCCCGAATGAACAGTCATGCCCCGTATGTGCTATGGTCGAATTCAACGAATCGTTGGGCCGTGGCAGTGGTGTCTTCTCACATCATCCCTTCACGGCGAACTGTCCTACGGGGCTGACAACCATCCCTAGCCCGAAGCGAGTTTCTGCTTTGTTCATAGCAGGCAGTGTCGTTCTTTGACGGCCACCTTTGGGCTTGCTTAGCAAAACCAAAAGGAAACTTCCTGCTTTCCGCTGCCCAGATATCATCTATTGGAACATCATCCAAAAAGCGATGCTTAAATCGACTGTTCGCGCGACATCTATTAAACATCCAAAAAGTGATGTTCGAATATACTGTTCATGGGTCCGGAACACGTTTTTGTTGAGTTGTTGGAAGGGAGCGGATTGGAGTCCCGGCGTGGGTGGCTCTGTTCGGCGGCTTCAAGGACACCTGGCACCGATCGACTCGCGCAGACGCGAGCCAGGGGCCACAGGTGGGTGGGTTTCAAAACGCTGGGTGCTGCAGCCATTTTGGTTCAACTCAGCACCAACGTCACAGTCACACAGGTGGCTTGGTACTTTTTGGTTCACACGCTGGGTTTGGTATTTCCGAAGCTGGGGGCCCTTTCATGGCCTGGTTCCATGTTCAGAACCAAGGGGATCTTGTGACGAGCTGTTCAACTTCCACCCTTTGATGGCCAAGCAGGGCTGAAGTCGAATGTTGGACAACTCCCGCATGCCTTTGTGAAGAAGAGGGGTCCTGACATGTCCCCTTTAGATGTCACCTTGCCACAGAGTAACTGAGTCAAGGTTCGCCCACATGGGCATGTTTTACCACAAAACGGAGAAAGCAAGCTGCGGGGTTTCGGACGGAGTACTTCCGCGGGCTGTCTTGGGGTCGAGCAACCAGGACCGCACGAATCAGCGGGGCTCATCCAAACAAGTCAATCTCACCATCAGGGGACCTACCAGTTGTTTAAACGGCTACAATTGAGTGGACTGTGCAGAACAAATGACTTTAGTGATATTAAATGGTTCAACAGACAAACAACAAACCATTCAAGCTGGCAACTCGGGCGGGTATCTTTTGGTTTGAGGGTGCCCTTTTGTGCTTGGTCCGTAAGGAAAATGAATGGACACCACCAATTTTGAAGGTTAACACCCCGAATTTGAGACAAAAGCGAGTAAGCATGGTGATACACGTTGACACGTACCAGGCAGGTATCAAATGGCAATGGGCAGACGGCCCACAGCGAGCCCCTGCCTGGAAAGCAAGGTTGTTCGACCCTTTGTACTCATGTGCACACTTTGTGTATCAGCACTATGTGCACCCTGTAACTGATATATTTCTAAATGTACAACATACATAAATCCCATTCCTGCATGCTCTTTTCTTGGTTGCCTTGATGAAACTCGGTTGCTTTCTGCTCCCCTGCTAAAAGTGTCAAGTTTAAGTTTTAGTGGTTTAATGGAAAACCCATTAGTTGGCAAAAAGTTAAAGTCCTAACATCCCTTGGCAAAATGCGGCAAAGTTAAACTCACCTCCGTGGATGGCCAACCAATTCCAAGCTGTTTGTCCGCACCCCAAAAGTGATAAAGTCCAGTGGATCTCAGGGAGTGAGATCCAAAATGCGCCAAATTGGAGATAGATATGCCAAAATCCCAAAAGAAAACCAACAAAAAACACGATTTTCTTGGTACTTCAAAAACCGCCCGGGAAAAAAAAAAAAAAACGGCGGAATCTCTGGGCGGAAGGCGCCGCAAGGCGCCGGAAGGCCCCGAGCCCCGAGCCCCGAGTTGCGCCTCGCCCTGAGTCGGCGGCTCCGCTTGGCTCAAAGGCGCCTCCTCGTTGCCCCTGCGCGAAATCGAAATCGAGGCGAAGCGGGTGGCCTGCGCGAAGCCTCATTTAAGAACCCCATCACAAGCCAAAACCAATAATATATATATATATATACAGAGATACATATAATAATATATATATAGTACATGCATATATCTATATATATATATAAATACATATATATATATATATATATATGTATGTAGTAGACTGTTCGTCTCCATCTAGTGTCCATTTACAGCCATCCAAACACGGGTCCCCCGAGTTTGAGACGAAGCCGTATGGTTGGTTGACATTTTGAGATTTGGCAGTCGGTCAAGCCCTGCCATAAGAATCTGTATATGTTCAATACACAAATTTGTGCACATGTTCCCGTTCTTACAATCTATTGGGTGCCGGGGCAAGAACTGCTTGTTTCCCATGGTGTCCCCGCTGTCCTCCCCAAACGAACAGTAGACTTGCAGTATTTGTGTAAGTTGCTCAAACCACTGTGTATAGTATGAAACCCAGCCGCGCACACACACACACAAACATAGAAACACACAGACACCGGATTGCATCGATAATGGAACTGGTCTTCCCAAAAGTCTTGAAAGTCCCAGAACTCAGAAAGTGAGAAGCTAAACGCTGAAGGCCTGCAGCCTGCCAGACCCGCGCGGCAAAACACTCCAGCGTTGACGCTGTCAGGTGTAGAGCGCCGATGCGCACGCAAACGCCCCACGAACAGTCAGGTTGCACCCAAAAGAGTACCGCTAAACCAATGACATCAAGAAGGCCTGGATTTCCGATGAGCGGCACTTCATTCAAAGGTTGGCCAGTTTTTTGCACAACCTCTATTAGTTGAAACCAAACAGCAGCCTTCGTGGCTTTCGTATCCCAACTAAGGATCTTTTGAACTGCACAGGTGAACAGCTCAGTACAAAAGCAGGCACTTCTCCCACTAGGTCACTTGGAAGCCGGGGCCGGTTCAATTGAAAAACAACTCAAGACCTGGAAATTAAAAATGATCATCTTTTGGGTTCATGAGGCACAACTAGACCACACAGAGCTCCCGATTCAATCGGAAAGCAAAAGGATAGGTCGGATTTGTGCGTCCTCGTTTAGGCTGCCGTTTTTGAGGTTGTTTCAGAGAGAAACAAGAATTACCAGAGGTCCAAACCACCCCTACAAAGCCCCAGTGAAGGGTGGCGCAGATGGGTTCTAGGAAGACTGACAAGTGATTGTCCTTTGGTGCCAACTGAAACCCATTTGTCAGACCCAGTTCGGGTTTCTGAAAAACAAAGGGCTTGGACAAATTAAACAATGACACATCCCATTTGCGTTTCATTCTGTTATTTGGCACCCAAAGCAGCATTGGCCCAGGTGTGCAGTGGTCAGAACACACGTGGGGCATTCCCTGATAACTGTTGGCCCTGAGGTATCAGTTCAAAGGATGTGTTGACCATCGCACAATTTATCTTGATGATCACCCAGGAGGCAGGACAGGCCAGGCTTGCCTTGCAAACAGGATTGTTGTAACCCAACAAATCCAGAGGCGCCGAACCTCTTCTCAGGCCCCGTTTGAAGTGACCTGACTGATTTCTTCATTGGGGACTGCCAGAAATCCGCACTTGGGGTGCAATGGTAGAAAACGCACGTGTGCGTCATGGTCATGGTCCCCTGAACCCTAACCGTTGCGCAAACTACCCGAAGGCTACTGCCTGCACCTGTTGTGGGAAAGTCGAAGGCACTGGTGAATGCCTGGAACCAACCTGAGGCGGGCTCCGCATTATATCTGCAACCAAACTGAACATTCGAAAAAACATCTATTGCGGATGACGACATCCACTTCGCACCACTGACATAAACTGCCTACTGGAGTGAAGTGGATGTTGTCCATCCACAGCATGCAAGGGCAACATGGATGATTGGAGCCACCGGTGAATGTTGTTCCACCACACTGACCGTTCAAGCCCTAGGGCCAAAACCCTTCTGAGACCCTATCCCCAAAAACCCTCTCAGTTGCCCAAAGGACCCGGACACAAAAGGCTTTCCGTTTAGAACCGTGACTAAAAAAAGGCACGAACACGTGAAAACCACAAGGTTTTTCAGCCCAGAGGCTCAGGTCGTTTCGCTTGCACCTGAGCCCCAAGATCCGGGCTAAAAAACGACAACCGATGGATTTTCAGCTCAGGTCGTCTCGCAATCTGAGCCCCAAGATCCTGGGCCCCTGGGCCAAAAACCGACCGCCTGGTGCTGGAGCTCCAGTAGTTGCCGAACATCACTCGCAGCCCGGCGGCCCGAAACCTCGATGTCCGCGAAAGCGGCGAAGGCGCTCGTTGCGAAGTGTTGGGGGGCTCAAGGAGCTTCAAGTGGAGGTTCCTGAAATACCCAGTCTCGGTTGCGAAATCTGCTCCCCTGCTGAAAGTTTAACTTTCAGTGGTGCATGGAGAACTCATTAGTTGGCAAAAAGTTAAAGTCCTAAAATCCCTTGGCAAAATGATGCAAAATGCCCCAAAGCAGTCTAAGGAAACCAAAGGCTTTGCCCTCCCTTTCCAGGTTATAGCCTCAATAAAAGTTGAAAGCCCGCAAAATGCGAAAGTAGGGAGTTGTACCTGGTCATCCCCCCGCATGAGCTTTTTGAGGAGGTGAAATAGATCTGGAAAGGTCACCAAGCCCGCGGCTGGCTGCGACTGCTGCCGCCGCTTACGCTCTGGCTGCTGGTTTGCCGAAGGCCCAGCGGCTCCTTGGCAAAAGGGGCTTGCAAACGTTTGATTTTGTTGCCCCCAGCTGAAAGCAGCTGGGTCGATAGGCCCAAGGCGATCTCTGGGCTGGTTGCTTGGGAGGGTTCCGAAGGGCTCCAGGGAGTTTCGGGCGTTTTCGCTCAAACCAGCAGGAAGTTCGGCAGGGAATTGACCAAACACCAAATAGAACCATGTCCTGCGGAAGTTCCAGCTGAGATTCTTGGGAAACAAAAGGGGCCCTCAATAAAAAAGCGAGTAGTCAAAATGCGGGGCTTAAACACGCAACACACAATTTCAGGCACAACCACACGCCCGCAGACACCCACGCACACACACACACACAGACACACACATACACACACACACACATACACAGACACACGCACACACGCAGACAAACACACACACACAAAAACACAAACACAAACAAAAGCACAGACACAAACACAAACACAAACACAAACACAAGCACAAACACAACCACAAACACAAGCACAAACACAAACACAAACACAAACAAAACACGAACACAAACACAAACACAATCACAAGCACAAGCACAAGAACAAGCACAAGCACAAGCACAAGCACAAGCACAAGCACAAGCACAAACACAAACACAAACACAAGCGCAAGCACAAGCACAAGCACAAACGCAAACAAGCACATGCACAAACACAAACACAAACGCAAGCACAAACACAAACACAAACAAACGCAAACACAAACACAAACACAAACAAACGCAGACACAAACACAAACACAAACACAAACACAAACGCAAACGCAGACACAAACACAAACGCACACGCAAACACAAACAAATACAAAAACACAAACACAAACACAAACGAAAACGCAAACGCAAACATAAACACAAACACAAACACAAACACAAACACGAACACGAACAGAAGCACAAGCACAAGCACAAGCACAAGCACAAGCACAAGCACAAACACAAGCACAAGCACAAGCACAAGCACAAGCACAAGCACAAGCACAAGCACCAGCACCAGCACCAGCACAAACACAAGCACAAGCACAAGCACAAGCACAAACGCAAACGCAAACACAAGCACAAACACCAACACCAACACCAACACGAGCACAAGCACAAGCACAAACGCAAACACAAGCACAAACACAAACACAAACAAACACAAACACAAACACAAACACAAACGCAAACGCAAACGCAAACGCAAACGCAAACGCAAACACAAACACAAACACAAACGCAAACGCAAACGCAAACACAAACACAAACACAAACACACACACACACACAAACACAAACACAAACGCAAACGCAAACACAAACACAAACACAAACGCAAACGCAAACACAAACACAAACGCAAACACAAACGCAAACACAAACTCAAACACCATCAAAACGCAAAAGCAAACGCAAACACAAACTCAAACGCAAACACAAACACAAACACAAAAACAAACGCAAACACAAACACAAACACAAACACAAACGCAAACACAAGCGCAAACGCAAACGCAAACGCAAACGCAAGCACAAACACAAACACAAACGCAAACGCAAACACAAACACAAGCACAAACGCAAACACAAACACACACACACACACGCAAACACAAACACAAACAAAAAAGCAAACGCAAACACAAACACAAACACAAACGCAAACGCAAACACAAACACAAACGCAAACACAAACGCAAACACAAACACAAACACCATCAAAAACACAAACGCAAACGCAAACACAAACTCAAACGCAAACACAAACACAAACACAAACACAAACACAAACACAAACGCAAACGCAAACACAAACGGAAACACAAACGCAAACGCAAACACAAACGCAAACACAAACGCAAACGCAAACACACACACAAACACAACACAAACACAAACACAAACACAAACGCAAACGCAAACACAAGCACAAACACAAACACAAACACAAACAGAAACACAAACACAAACGCAAACGCAAACGCAAACACAAACACAAACACAAACGCAAACACAAACGCAAACGCAAACGCAACCACAAACACAAACACAAAAACAAACACAAATGCAAACACAAACACAAACACAAACGCAAACACAAACACAAGCACAAAAACAATCACAAACGCAAACACAACCACAAACACAAACACAAACGCAAACACAAACGCAACCACAAACACAAACACAAACGCAAACACAAACACAAACGCAAACACACACACAAAAACAAACAAAAAAACGCAAACACAAACACAAACGCAAACACAAACACAAACACAAACGCAAACACAAACGCAAACGCAAACGCAACCACAAACACAAACACAAACACACACACACACACAAACACAAACACAAACACAAACACAAACGCCAACACAAACACAAACGCAAACGCAAACACAAACACAAACACAAACACAAACGCAAACACATACGCAAACACAAACACAAACACCATCAAAAACACAAAAGCAAACGCAAACACAAACTCAAACGCAAACACAAACACAAACACAAACACAAACGCAAACGCAAACACAAACACAAACACAAACACAAACACAAACACAAACACAAACACAAACGCAAACACAAACGCAAACGCAAACGCAAACGCAAACGCAAACACAAACACAAACGCAAACACAAACGCAAACACAAACACAAAAACAAACACACACACAAACACAAACACAAACGCAAACGCAAACACAAACACAAACGCAAACGCAAACGCAAACACAAACACAAACACAAACGCAAACGCAAACACAAACACAAACACAAACACAAACGCAAACACAAACGCAAACACAAACACAAGCACCATCAAAAACACAAACGCAAACGCAAACGCAATCACAAACGCAAACACAAACGCAAACACAAACGCGAACACAAACGCAAACACAAACACAACACAAACACAAACACAAACGCAAACGCAAACACAAACACAAACACAAACACAAACGCAAACAGAAACAGAAACACAAACACAAACGCAAACGCAAACGCAAACGCAAACACAAACACAAACGCAAACACAAACGCAAACGCAAACGCAACCACAAACACAAACACAAAAACAAACGCAAATGCAAACACAAACACAAACACAAACGCAAACACAAACACAAGCACAAAAACAAACACACACGCAAACACAAACACAAACACAAACGCAAACACAAACGCAAACACAAACACAAACACAAACGCAAACACAAACGCAAACGCAAACGCAACCACAAACACAAACACAAACACACACACACACACAAAAACAAACACAACAACAAATGCAAACACAAACACATACACAAACACAAACACAAACGCAAACACAAACACACACACACAGAAAAAAAAAAGAAAGAAAAAAAGAAGAAAAAAAACGCAAACACAAACACAAACACAAAAACAAACGCAAACACAAACACAAACGCAAACACAAACACAAGCACAAACACACAAAAACAAACGCAAACACAAACACAACCGCAAACTAACACAAACAAACACAAACACAAACACAAACACAAACACAAACGCAAACGCAAACGCAAACACAAACACAAACACAAACGCAAACACAAACGGTGAAAGAATTCTGAAACGAGCGCAGTCAACATGTCCTTTTCACCCTGATTGCCCGAGGTGGGACGTCCTGGATGCGTGGCAGGTCCCTCCCCCCCCCCAGCCACGCGGAAGTGTCGCGCGCGCAAATTTCGGATGCCCAGGCCCCGACGTTGGAGCTCGTGAAGTCGCCCCTGGATGCGAGCCGGCCGACCACGCAAATTGGTCCCCAGGATCCAGGGTTCCAAGAAAGCGACCAACAAAAGCCTGCAGTGTTGACCATCTTTGTTGGACATGGGCGGTCCCAAGCAAAGCCTGACTCTTTGACAATCCCCATTGGAAATGGCCGGGGGGCGGGTCTTTTTGACAATCTTTGTGGAAATGGACGGGGGCGGGTACCTTTGCTTAATTTGCTTATGGTCTCCATTTGGTTTCCTTGAAACTAAAAACAAACAGGGGATCCCTGCAAAGAAGTCAAGGGATGGTTCAGTTTGGGGGCCTCATTTCTCGCTGAGAACCAGCACAGGTTCTATCCCAGTCAGCAAATTGACATGGAACCCCATTTTGTGGGCCCGCCCAAAGGAAGATTCCTCCACAACTGATGTTTGGAGTTCCATATCAATCGAGTCCTTTCGTTGCGCCCCCCTCCCCAAACCCTACCAATGACCATGTCCAAGAATGCTGAATCATGGTTCCCAAACCCCTAGCAACGGGAAAAGATTTTGGCACTCATTTTCTTTGAAGGGAACCCCCTCCAAACAGAGCTGGGTGTGGCAACCCAAAATAGGAATCGGCGCAAAGTGGGAGCTGGTCAATGGAAAAGTAGACTAAAGCCTGCGGTCGCCCAACTCTTACTTACCCCTTAAAACTCCAAGCCCTGGGGAAGTTACTCTTTTACAGACATATAGCCCATGTTACCCAAAAAGCTGAGAAAAGTTTTGTGTTTTTAAGAGGTAAGCTTCACAGTTGAGCCAGACTCAGTTGGAAAAAGGGCACCGGCGGATCCAAATCCTTTCAACTCGCCGGGTCGCACTGGGGCCGTGCAGCTCTTCTTGAAGTTCTTCTCAGCCTGGCGAAAAACAAACGAAAACAAAAGGCCCGAGTCCAAGAAACGAGTTCCCGGTTCAGGGGAACATTGGAAGAACCGGGCGCCCCAGATTGCCACCAAATGTCCCCAAATTCAGGGAATGAAGGCTTTTCGGAACTCACTTTTGGTTGGGTTGAGGCGAGCTTCTGGCCCAAAGCCAAGTGGATAAAGTCTGGAGTCTCCAGATGTCCACCGAAACATCATCACGCAAGCAGAAGAAAAGCACAATTCGTCCGTGTGATATTTAAATTGACTTGCCATGGTAAAACTGGGGAACCCTTTGGTCTCAATGTAAAGCTTGACCCGGAAAAGATGACAACTCTATACAGAAACTGGCGAGGGTGAGGGCGCCCTTTTTGGGGTTCACCATGTTCAACTAAAGAAAGAAAGAAAGAAAGAAATTCTTATTGAAACAAAGAAGGACTCAGAGAGCGGTTGTGTTGGATAGCGATTCACCAATGGTGAGTTAACACATCTTGCGTTTCCGAAAATGAATCCCTCACCTGAAAAGCACAAAGGGTAGGGCAATGCACAACACAAATGGGGCCAACAGATCTGGAAAACTTTTTCCATGGGAAAAAAACACCCACAGCTTTTGGGCTGGACATGTCTGAGCTTGTTGCATCCAACCTGCTCCATGCACCAGTCCCAGCTCCTCTCTAAGTTACCTGACTGAGATCCCAAACAGCCAAACTCTGTAGACTCCTTTACTTTCCTGTCACCCAGCCAAATCTTCAGGGGGTGGTACAGGGACACCCATGAAGGTAAAATTGTGGTGCGGTTGAGGAAAAACAAAACCAATACTTGGCCGATGCTTAACAGTACTTGCCGGAAAACTACTCAGGCAAGCCCCAGTCGCCCCCCTCCCCCCCCCCGGTTTAGTTTGGGCGGGGCTCTTTGCTAATCTCTACCCACATTTCCCGGTGGGGTGACCAGCTCAAGCATTGGTGCCCAACCCTGCTGCCCAGTGACCCCGTTGGAAACACGCTAGAAACACGGAGCCAAGTTGTTTTTCCGGGTCTGCCATGTAAAGCAAAAATAGTGCCACTGCAAAACTGAGTGATCCAAAGATCTGATCGCACGAGGACAGAACAATGGGCCCCTAAGTCAAACGAACGAAGGTGATACAAATTGTTTGTAATTTAGCCCCTCACGTCAAACAAATTGCATTTGTGATAGTTGCCAAAGCTATCGAACTGACCATATCAAGCAATCTGGATCAAAAGCCAACACAACTCATATCAAACGAGTCTCGTCCTTACGCCTTGCCTCGTCCGCGAGGACGTCCGAGACGGGCTCCGTGAGGTGTCGGGCTCGGCTGGGGGCCTCGCAAAGGCCGCGGAAGAAGTCTGTAAGTCAGAATCATATGGCTGTGGCTCAAAAAACCGGAATTCCAAAATGGGTTGCCCTGGTAAGTGGAACCAAAGACTAAAACCCGCGGTTTGCCCCAGCTCTTTAATTTTGAGCCACAGCCATATGGTACAAACGTGGTCTGCAAAGACTGCACCCGGTTTGGTTGAACGGTTGGGAATCTCGAAAGCTTGCTAAACCTTTTGTTTTACTTGTTGCTGGAGAAAGCACTGGGACGATTCACATGGCCTACCGAGGCCACGCCAAACCACATGCGTAAGTTCAGGTTCAAGACTCGCCAGGAGCCTCCCGCAGGCCGAGAAATTCATCTTGGGGGTGGTTGGAGACCGTTTCTAACCCAAGAGGAGAACCCAACTAAGCCACAGGCACCAAATCCAAATCCGCTAGGGGCCGTGTCCATGTGCTCATGGGAGCAACGCATCCCAACCTGTTGCGAGGGACCAACACATTGCCAAGTCTTTATAAACCACGCGATGGATATGGTGGATACCTTTGCGAGCGAGTGCCCGCATCCAAGCAACAAGCTCCATTTCCCTGTCCTTCAAGGGCTGATGCAAAATAACACCAGTCACTCCAGATGTATAGTGTGCACGCAAAGACAGGAATTATGAACTCCACTGGCAACTGGAATGCACTGGGGAAGCTAACCAAACAATGATTGGGTGTTTCTCAAAATTAGTGGGAGGGTGGCTTCCATTTGGTTTCCCTGTCGACCCATGCCGAACGAGGATCCTGTGCGGGGCAAGCCTCCCGCCCATGTTCGGAGACTGTGTCGCTGACGCACCGCCGGCGCTGGCACGAGAGTTTCCACGAGAGATCCCGAGAAAGGGTTTGCTAGGAATGAATTTCTGTTCAAACCAGAGGGGTGTAGCCCAAACACGGGGGAGGGGCCTTTTGGGCTGCTTTTTGGTCTTTGTTGGGGGTGGGGAGGGGGCTTGGGCTTTCTAAATTGTGGGCCAAATTGGGTGGGGTCTTTTCAGCTGTTATCGTTTCTTGCTTTTGAGGGTGGTACGGTGGATTGGGCTGGCGAGAGAAGCAAACACCCTTCCCCTTTTCATGTCCCTCCAAGAGTGCTCTGAACGATTGGGTCAAACGTCCCAACCCGAACCCGGGATTTGCTTGGTCCAAACGCCCGAACCTTGGCGACTACCAAGCATGGTTCACCTTTTGAGCCCGTTACATGAACCAAAGGCAGTGAGAAGCACTCCCTAATAGGTTCCCATCTTGTGTGCCTCTCGACTCTCGGCCCCCTCGGCCCCCTCGGCCCCCTTCGGATGAGAAGAACACCTTGCGGAACTCACCAGTTGCCCACACAGCGGCAAAAGCTAACTCCCGCCGCTGGCGCACCAACGTTGGTAGCAAGCCCTTGCCCTGCATCGCTCCATTCCCACCTTGGCACTAGTCGATCGAATCACGCGGCGTCGCCGGCAACAACTCTGAGTTTGTTGTTCCAAAATCCGGACCAGCCGTGATGTATGAATTCCAATGAATGGGGTAAACCACCTGCCAACTGTTGCCTGGCTTGGTTTTGGTCCATCCACAGTACCTTGCAAGCATAACCCCACCTTGCCGTCCAGATTCCTTTGTAGGCTCTGGGGTATGCTCAAAGATATGTCGGAGGGTTCTATGAGATGCCTATTGTGCCAGAGCAGGTGCATCGAGCATGTCTCTTTAGTCCCGCAGCTTTCTCAAATCACTTGACAGGCGATGACCTTTTGGGCCCACTGGACACCCAGAGGAAGAGTTCAGAGTATGGCGTCAGTGAGGCGGTTCACAAAGCAAGTGGGACCCCCAAACAACAGCTTGGTTGACGTTGGAAGGGGAGCACTAATTCAAATCTTAGCAGTTCAGTGGTTGGATTTCAACCACAAAACCACAATAAGCAAAAATGTCAACTGTTTCCCAACAACAACCATGAACAAGGGTCGCAGTTCCGCCCGCTAGGCAACGTCCAGGCCGCAAAACCATCGCTTTCAACAAACCTCCTTTCTGGGAATGTGTTAAATTTAGGCACCCGCCCCCACCTTGGCCCAAATGTTAATATTTAGTCAACAACATCTTGGAGGAGGCCCCTGAAAAACAGTGGTTTTCCCGCTGGTGTTCCTTTGGACCAAAAAGATGCTAGCCTCAGAAACACACACGCACCCTTGTAGATCTGGTCAAATTGCTGGAATTCACAACAAATGAAAATCATAGCCAACGCATCACAAATGTAACGTCTCACACTCTCATGTGTGATCAAAGTCAGTCTAGGCAAATGACAAGAATTCACAACCAGATTTAGGAATTCCTCAGTAAAGGACCTTTGTCGTGGGTGAGCTCGGTTTCCCCCCAAGTGAGCTCGCCATGATTTGGCCACATAGACTAAATACCAAGCAAATCCTGCTACTGGTGGGGCTGCCCGGTTGCCTACACAGAAAGCGTGAACTGGAAGCACCGCGACAGGTGAAAATCCCCCAAACAACGCGCTATCTACATCTATCTACCATGTGCCCACACAGTGTGCAAGAACTGAAATCCAAGGGGACCAACATAACCAGAGCAAGTTGTTCAAGAAGCAAGAAACAATTGAGGTCGGCATGCGACTCCACCATCTGATGCGCAAGGCCCGCACCGCACTGGATGGTCATACAGCAGGCATCTCAAATCACAATGTGGCAAGAGGAGGTGTATACTTGGCTAAAGAATCTGCACAATGTATTTCACCCATAAATAGGGACACCTCAAGAAAAATACCTTTATCATGGATGAGCTTGCTGACACCCCATGTGACGCATTTGAGTCGCGGAAGAAGCGGCTCCACTATCAGTCACTATCGGATTCATAAGTCAAGAAAGCGCGCCTTTGATTGCAAGCAAATTGAAAGGCCTCAAGACTAGGCACCGCTCTAAATGGTAGGCTCTCATGTCGGTGGCCAAGAAACAAGCATGCTGCAGGGCCTTGACAGCACAAATCTCTGAGGGAATGTGATGGCGGCGTCCCTGATGTGTCTTTCACGCTTGCTGCGGTTTGCTACGGTTGCTGAACACAGCTGCGGCGTCAAGCACACTGCGGAATCCGCGCAGATCTGAGCTGAATCAAGATACGCACAAAGCTTGCCTGATCTAAACACAGCACGACCTGCTGGTATTTCCCGAGAATGACTCCGGATGCCTTTGCTCTTCGATTCTCCTGAGCAGAAAAGCGAGTCCCCGATTTTAGGAAACAGGTTCGGGGGAACACATCCGAAATCTCGCCTTGCGGCCGAGGAACGCCCTCAAATCCCTGGGGGGATGATTGCTCTCGTCGGCAAACAACACTGGTTTTGCCACCGGGCCAATCATGAAGCAATGGCAAACAAAAAGCGACAAACCAACATGTGAGGAGCGGACGAAACCCTTTACTTGGCCTTAGTACTTTTTTTAACGTCATCGTTTTTGGGGGAGACCTCATCGTTTTACAGTGTTTTCGAACTTTGGCAGATCCGGCTCCAAAATCGCAACTTTCTAGCACAAGTCTAGTACGCGAAGTACACTTCCGCAGCTCCAGCTCGAAATTCGCAACTTTGTAGTACAAGTCTAGTACGCGAAGTACACTTCCGCAGCTCCAGCCCGAAAATTGCGAAATACAATTCCGCAGCTCCAGCTCGAAAAGCGAAACTTGGCAGGCAGTACAAGTCCAATACGCGAAGTACACTTCCGCATCTCCAGCTCGAAAATCGCAACTGTGCAGTACAAGTCTAGTACGCGAAGTACACTTCCGCATCTCCAGCTCAAAAATCACAACTTTGTCGTGCAAGTCTAGTACGCGAAGTACACTTCCGCAGCTCCAGCTCGAAAATCGCAACTTCGTAGTACAAGTCTAGTACGCGAAGTACACTTCCGCATCTCCAGCTCGAAAATCGCAACTTTGTAGTACAAGTCTAGTACGCGAAGTACACTTCCGCAGCTCCAGCTCGAAAATCGCAACTTTGTAGTACAAGTCTAGTACGCGAAGTACACTTCCGCAGCTCCAGCTCGAAAATCGCAACTTTGTAGTACAAGTCTAGTACGCGAAGTACACTTCCGCATCTCCAGCTCGATCATCGCAACTTTGTAGTACAAGTCTAGTACACGAAGTACACTTCCGCATCTTCAGCTCGAAAATCGTAACTTTGTAGTACAAGTCTAGTACGCGAAGTACACTTCCGCAGCTCCAGCTCGAAAATCGCAACTTTGTAGTACAAGCCTAGTACGCGAAGTACACTTCCGCATCTCCAGCTCGAAAATCGCAACTTTGTAGTACAAGTCTAGTACGCGAAGTACACTTCCGCATCTCCAGCTCGAAAACTCGCAACTTTGTAGCACAAGTCTAGTACGCGAAGTACACTTCCGCATCTCCAGCTCGATCATCGCAACTTTGTAGTACAAGTCTAGTACACGAAGTACACTTCCGCATCTTCAGCTCGAAAATCGTAACTTTGTAGTACAAGTCTAGTACGCGAAGTACACTTCCGCAGCTCCAGCTCGAAAATCGCAACTTTGTAGTACAAGTCTAGTACGCGAAGTACACTTCCGCATCTCCAGCTCGAAAATCGCAACTTTGTAGTACAAGTCTAGTACGCGAAGTACACTTCCGCATCTCCAGCTCGAAAATCGCAACTTTGTAGTACAAGTCTAGTACGCGAAGTACACTTCCGCAGCTCCAGCTCGAAAATCGCAACTTTGTAATACAAGTCTAGTACGCGAAGTACACTTCCGCATCTCCAGCTCGAAATTCGCAACTTTGTAGTACAAGTCTAGTACGCGAAGTACACTTCCGCATCTTCAGATCGAAAATCGTAACTTTGTAGTACAAGTCTAGTACGCGAAGTACACTTCCGCATCTCCAGCTCGAAAATCGCAACTTTGTAATACAAGTCTAGTACGCGAAGTACACTTCCGCATCTCCAGCTCGATCATCGCAACTTTGTAGTACAAGTCTAGTACACGAAGTACACTTCCGCATCTTCAGCTCGAAAATCGTAACTTTGTAGTACAAGTCTAGTACGCGAAGTACACTTCCGCAGCTCCAGCTCGAAAATCGCAACTTTGTAGTACAAGTCTAGTACGCGAAGTACACTTCCGCAGCTCCAGCTCGAAAATCGCAACTTTGTAGTACAAGTCTAGTACGCGAAGTACACTTCCGCAGCTCCAGCTCGAAAATCGCAACTTTGTAGTACAAGTCTAGTACGCGAAGTACACTTCCGCATCTCCAGCTCGCAAACAAGTCTTAAAGTCGCACTTTAGTACAAGTCTAGTACGCGAAGTACACTTCCGCAGCTCCAGCTCGAAAATCGCAACTTTGTAGTACAAGTCTAGTACGCGAAGTACACTTCCGCATCTCCAGCTCGAAAATCGCAACTTTGTAGTACAAGTCTAGTACGCGAAGTACACTTCCGCAGCTCCAGCTCGAAAATCGCAACTTTGTAGTACAAGTCTAGTACGCGAAGTACACTTCCGCATCTCCAGCTCGAAATTCGCAACTTTGTAGTACAAGTCTAGTACGCGAAGTACACTTCCGCATCTTCAGATCGAAAATCGTAACTTTGTAATACAAGTCTAGTACGCGAAGTACACTTCCGCATCTTCAGCTCGAAAATCGCAACTTTGTAATACAAGTCTAGTACGCGAAGTACACTTCCGCATCTCCAGCTCGAAAATCGCAACTTTGTAGTACAAGTCTAGTACGCGAAGTACACTTCCGCATCTCCAGCTCGAAAATCGCAACTTTGTAGTACAAGTCTAGTACGCGAAGTACACTTCCGCAGCTCCAGCTCGAAAGTCGCAACTTTGCAGTACAAGTCTAGTACGCGAAGAACACTTCCGCAGCTCCAGCTCGAAAATCGCAACTTTGTAGTACAAGTCTAGTAAGCGAAGTACACTTCCGCATCTCCAGCTCGAAAATCGCAACTTTGTAGTGCAAGTCTAGTACGCGAAGTACACTTCCGCCTCTGCAGCTCGAAAATCGCAACTTTGTAGTACAAGTCTAGTACGCGAAGTACACTTCCGCAGCTCCAGCTCGAAATTCGCAACTTTGTAGTACAAGTCTAGTACGCGAAGAACACTTCCGCAGCTCCAGCTCGAAAATCGCAGCTTTGTAGTACAAGCCTAGGCTGTACGCGAAGTACACTTCCGCATCTCCAGCTCGAAAATCGCAACTTCTCAGTACAAGTGTCGTATTTACAGAGCCGTGTGTTCGTTAAGGGTCATCGTTTTTGGGGGAGACCTCATCGTTTTCCATGGTTTTGGGATGTGTTACTCAAAAGCGTGCCCCGTCTTGATAAAGTGGTCTACGCGTGTTTTGTCCGTGGCTCATGTGGAGAGCAGCGAAACGACGACATCAAATCGGAATGTATGAATTGTGACGGCGTCAAAAGGTTTATGAGAATCACTATTTATCTAAGTCGTACAAAGAGCATCTGACATGTACCCTTCTGATTTCCTTGAGATGTTGGTAAAGCATTAGCTATTCCATTGAACTCTCAGGCTCTCATCGATCATCTCAGCTGCATGCACTTTCCATGGTTCTGAGTTCTGGATGCACTATGCGCATGGTCCTCAGAAGTCTGAAAGAAATGCAGTGCTGGGAAGTAGATAATTAGCATGGGGTTGTGGGGTACTGTTAAACAATATCACGCTATGATCATAGAATCACGATGCTGGTCTTGGAATCAGTTGGGGATCAGTTGTGGACGACGTTGTGAAATTTCGATAGAGTTGGAACCGTTCATGCCAAATGTCGCGCATGTCTTTTTGATGCCAACAGGCCGCCGTAGAACTCTGAAAGGACATCTTGCACCAGCTTATGTCTAGCAAGCTCTCAGTTGCATGAACATACGTTGCACAGTGTAAAACAAACAGGTTGCATCGAACACCATGATCTCCAGCGTCCAGTGGAACTGCAGCTGCCTTATCTTGAGACCTTCACTTTGCTGCATTGCTTGTGTGTTTCTGGTAAAATTGTAAACTGGACAGCCATGTCCCACTCATTTCCTCATCCTCTCTGGCTGCAGCCTCCGTTGGATCCCTCCGGCCAGAAAACTTGAACCATGGTTGAACAGCATTTTTTTTTTGGGGGGTTTCAGATTTCAAAAAGCAACCGCAGGGCAACCACTTATGTTCCAGGTGCCCCCCCCCCCCAAGCCAGCCATCCAGCCAGGCGTGCGTGGGCCCTTTTCGGCCATTCAAAGCTCGGCACGACGCGGTCTCTAAGTCTTTGGACACTCCGCGACACGAGGTCAGAGCTAAGACATGCGGATGGAAGAGCTAGGAACAAAGTGGGTGTTGAATCACCCTGGTGCCTCTCTAAACCTAAACCGCAATGCTGTACTAATTTACTCTTTCGGAGGTACCTTTAAATGGGGACTCTTGACAGGGACCCTCAATCATCACGTCCCCCTACTAACAAACGCGCCCCATTCATATCTAGTTTTTGTGGAGGATCGTATTTATGTGGAAACCATTTAGTACCCTCTCGTTGGTTTAAGCGACATTTGCGGCAGAAGCACTCCCGGGCAGATTAAAATGGAGCCACAAATGTCATTTTTTGGAGATTTTTTTTTTGGGAGAGAGCAGGGAAGTGTCGCGGCTGTTTCCGTGTCCGTCCTTAACCTTTTACAGGATGTTTGGAGCTACTGTGACATTAAGTTGCTTTTGGCCGG